GATGATCCTTTTTTGTCAATTTTTTTGTCAATTCATAATAAAAGACATGAAATACCTATGTCTCTTTCAAAAGACAGAAGTTTTTGAGGCGAAATGCGCAACGAACAGGTCTTGAAAAGCACGCATAAAGTAGAATTTTTCAACCAACAATTTATTTATAACAGATCAGCGGTGAACATTGTCAAACATTCAGCGTTGATCCACTGAAAGTTTCATTCCTACTTCGAAGATCATCAATTTTAAACTCAGAACCAACCACTCATATATTTAAGAAGTCCAATGATACACTTGAAGTAATAAAAGAAAAGTTCTCATACAATACGACGTCATGTCTCGTCTATATTTTGCATGTGATCATATCGCATGGCAACTTGACGACATTAGAGGTCAGTATTCTTCACACATGAGTCACGATTTTGTTTGACTCGTTCTAGCGATTCAGTACGTATATATGACGCCCACATGAGTACCACTATACAGCTGTTGTATAAGATAATAGACGAAAAAATTACGGAAAAGTCTATAAAGATACCGTTACAAAACAATTATAGGCTCATACAAAGCGACTTCAATGTTAGATTTTTTTTCTGATGCTTGTAAAACTAGTAGAGGATAGTCTTTAAATTTGTTAGCGTGAACTATCCGAGGTTTTGCATTTCAATTTCAAATCGTTACGCGTCTATAAAATCGATTCAACTACTTCCATATCCAAAATGTTAATTTTTCATTTTTTTCGGCCGTTGTCACATCGACTTTGGCTTCCAGATCTCAGCATGCGTTTCTTGAATTCTTTGATTTCTTTATATACTTATTCGGAATATGTAATTCTGTTTTCAGCTTTTATCGGCCCAGGCATTTGTATTAATCATACTCACCTTCAACAACCGTTGATAACTTATGAATTTCGATAACTGCTATAAGTCAGTACAGTCAAGCCATTATCACTACATTGTAATATCATTTTCAGTGTTTGACCTTCATTCGTATTAACGTGACTTCCTTCCATGGCTTTATATGCAATGATAAAACGTTTGCATTAAACCTACATATGTCTAGGACAGTCTAGGTCTAAATCATATTTTCAAAAATATCTTGCCGTTTACGAGTCTTTATCGGATTTTCTTTATTTCCTAATCTAAATGGTTCTTCTTTTTATGGCTGGCTGTGTGGTTCAACACCTAGATCCAGTTTGTGACAAAATTGTCTGATAAAAAAAAATCTTAAAATAACGAAGGGCTAGGGAGAAACTATCTGCAGAAGAAAGTTGTTTTTGAAACATTTGTTATTTCTTCGATCAATGAAATCATTGGCACATTCATTATTATATTTTTTCACTTGTCCACCAAATTTTGAATTTTCAACTTCCATCAAAAAATGGTAAGAAATATTTTTTTCTGTTCTCTGATGGTAAAAACTTGTATTTACTTATGCCACTCTATAGGTAACAAAAATAAGCAAAAATCTCTTTCTAATGATTTGTTTGTAAAATAATTTTAATTTTCATTAATTAATAACTATACAGGCTATTTAGAAAATGCGTTAGGAATTTTTGAAGGGTAATTCTACATGCTAAAATAATGGTAGATAGTCTGAATATTTTCCGAGTTAGAGCTCATCAATCGACTATACTACTATAGCGTAAAAAAAAATTACTTTGCCACTAGATGGCACTTTACCTGTATGTCATTCAAGTTTCATTTTTCGCATATCTTTTTTCAAACGCCAATGTTGCAAAGCCATTTTCAAGAATATGCCATTTTCGACAGTAGAAAATACAAAATAAAAAACGTGCTCTTCACACGACTCAGTTGCCCTGTATTTAATTGGAATTGCAGCAAATCAAGTCGTCTGATTATAAAATGTGCCAAATTTGACAATTTATAGTTATTATTGTATTACTGTCCAAAGCCACTCCAAATTAAAATTTATCAATAATATTTAAATGTTGCATTCAAATGCAGCACAATAATTTGGAATTTAATCTAAAATTGAACAGTAATACAATAATGACTATAAATTGTCAAATTTGGTACATTTTAAAACCAGACGACTTGCTTAGCTGCGATCGCAAGGACACTGGCTTGAGAGTTATAAAAACTTTGGTCTAGATGTGATCCTCAGCGAAGAGGTTTTTTGAGTCCTGTGAAGAGCACATTTTTTGTCCAGTATTTCGTAATCTTTAAAATCGCATATTACTTTCTGCGATATTTAGCGTCCCAAAAAAGATATGCGAAAAATGAAATTTAGATTTCAGGTAAGGTGCCACCTAGTGGTAAAGTGGATAAACAATTTTGTATGTGAAAGTTAAAGATTACTAAGATAAAACTTTGTACCAATTTTCTATTTGATCCGCGAATAACTACACATTTATTTTAGGTCAAAAATGAAATTTGACCAGTTGTAACTCGAAAAATTCTGATTTCTTATATTTGTTACATGATCTACTACCATTATTTTAGCATGTAGAATCGCCCTTTTTTTCCGGTGAGGTTTGGGAAATAGAATCGCCTTTAAAAAATGTTGGTACAAAACTTTCCAAATATTGCAAAAAATAAACTAAAAATTAATTTAAATAATTATAAATGATGAATTAAAAATTGTTTTGAACACTGTATATGACAATAAATCGATTGAGCAATTAAACCGCCTTATATTTGACTTACTATTACACCTACAGACTCTCTGCATGGCAAACACTATTTAAATAAATAATTTTCCTATGAGATAATAATTGTATATTTAAAAGTTTGACATGAATCATTTGTTGCTATTGTGGGTCAGTGCAGGAGTACGTTAGATTTACTCTTAATTGAACAATTAACATTTGCTAGAAGAGGATGGAACGTGATTTTCGAGTTCGGATTGGCGATCTATCGTTGTTTCAGTGAACCAGGTTTTTAAACCCATAGCGATCCCTCGATTAGTTCGGTTGAGGCATTATTGGTGTCGTTGAAGCCGTTGCTTTCGTATACTAGTGCTATTTTCCTAACCCCAAATATTTGTTTATGAATAGAAAGTGGTACATTTCAGAGCAGAAGTTCTCAGAAAGTATTGTATTATTAATGAAATAACTTTGCATAGACACGACACGTTCCAGGTAAAGACATTGCATTCTTATCTTACTCTCCCCAACTGTTGTCTGCATCCTAGTTTTGGCATCTGTTAATGACCATCATTTTGTACTTTGATATAAAAAGTTTTCATTCCTTGCTGTAATGTTAGATTGTTTTGGTATTTAACTATTTTCTATTAAATTTCACTTTAATTGTCTGTTAAAGATAGTTGTTAGATATAGCAAATTTGTAGCTTTCACTTTGACGTCTCCATTCTTATTTTGATTTGTTGGTTTCTTCAACAAACGCTTTCGGGGAGTTGATTCCACTTTGAAAATCTGCTAGTTCACACTTTATGACCCTGTATTTCTGATATCGTCGAATTTATATCCAACACTTGTAAAAACTGTACTTTTTATACGTTTTAAACTGCCTTGCCCGTGTGGAACTTATCTTATCAGTCATGTATTTTCACTATGGGTAGTTTAAGATTTTTACTGAATTTTGAACAATCACTTTGGAAGTGTGTCCAATATCAGAACCATCACTTTATGAATTTAGACTTTATTGCGGGCAGCCAAACCGAAACGCACCAGCAAGCAGAACCACAAAAAGATTGAAAAAGCCAAATTGCTTTCAGGAACTCCAACTGAAGCCTGAAAATCAAAATGATTTGATGTAATCTTTCCTGATCTTCAGACCTTCGGCCCATTAAAAGCATTTATAACTTATAACTAAGACAACTAATAAAATCTACATATACTCTTCATCCAGTTGTATTAATAAAAATATTATTATTTAATTAAAAATCGTGCAATAGATAGGTGGAAAATGGACAATCCATATCTACATTTTTATTTAACTATGACTAACTTAATGCATTATATCTTGGTGTAAGCACTCGGTTCGTATTTATCTACATTTTCAAAGCAAACTCCATTTTATCATGCATAAGGTCAGAAAGTTGTCTATTGATTTAGTTGTGGTATTGTTGACATAAAACGTTTATTATTCTATGTGTTTCCTTTCTCGATTTTACATGTTTCCCTTCTTCTTACTTTCTTTCATTTACAGAGCATTCAACCGATTTTAGGCGATTGCCCGATTGATTATATTGTCTATTATATTATGCGTCTTTTCAGCTACAGTTGTAGATGCATTGAAGTCAATGAAATTCGGCCAGCCATTCATGTTTTTGGACAAAAATCTATTTAATTATAACCGCGGTTTAAACATATTTTTATCAGTTGCGTAAAATTTAAGTAGGTTCTATTATCATCACCTATTATTGTTTGTTTATCTAGACTCTCTTTAAGCTTTTAATGACAATTTAAAGATTTATATGTGGCTCCATGACGTCAAATGACGGCATTAGTGGGACCGATTACGTTAATAAGACACTTACAGATTGCAGAAGACGTCAGTAGAACTTGTAGATTAACTTATCTATTCTCAATCTGTATCATTTTGAAATTATTATACCACACCAAATTCTATTTGTGTCGCATACAGTTACATACAACAGTGTATCCATTCATCATTTAATACCGCAATCAGTTGCTTTGATGCGTTTTTCTTTAATTTTTATTTGGTAAGTTTATACTTGCATATCTAATTCATCAAGTCATATCAACGCACGCTACATGATATAATGATTAAAACGTTGTCCTGCTCCGTCAAAAAAAATTTGAAATAAGGAAATACCCTTTTATATTTTTCCTGAAATAAATTAGTACTATTACTTATTACATTATTACATTATTTTAAAATTAACTCATAAAACACAAAATGAAATTATATACTATCACAAGCACTTCTGTTTGCAGCAATCTGAGAAAAAGGTTCTGGTGGTACAAACCCACTCATTTATCGATTTTCCTTCGACGATATTTTAGCCGAAGGAATGGTTCTTATTGTCCAAAGAATCTAAAATCTTTTTTATTACAGAACTGCAGTAAGAAATGGCTACGATAGACGGCCGTCCCGCACAATATGGAATATCCCTCAAGCAACTCCGCGAGCTCATGGAACATCGATCTCATGAAGGAGTCCAGAAAGTACATGAACTGGGTGGGGTGCAGGAAATATGTAAGAAACTTTACACATCCCCAAGTGAAGGTAAGGAATTTATTTGCAACGAATGTATCATTGAACTTCAATGAATTTTTTGTCATTTTCAGGACTTAGTGGGTCACATGTAGATTTAGATCATAGAAGAGAAACATTTGGTTCCAATTCAATACCCCCCAAACCTTCAAAAACATTTTTACAGTTAGTTTGGGAAGCTTTACAAGACATAACATTAATTATTTTAGAAGTAGCTGCGATAGTTTCTTTGGGTCTTTCATTCTATCAACCACCTGCAGAGCAAGACGGTAAGTTGTTTGAACATTGAAAAATTTCTATACGGATATTTTCATTAAAATCTTGTTAAGTTTTGATCACTAAGTACTTCATTTTAGTGAACTGACAAAGATTTTTTAATACTTCGCTGATGACGCTCATCTTGAAGTAGCGCTATTTATATAATCGTCGCTTAATTGTAATATCTTGAAGTGATTACAAAAGTAGATTCCTTTCGTTTTTATAATATGAGCATTTGTTTCATTATTTTATATTTTTCGGAAGTATAAATTGTAGCTGATACATATAATCAGATAATATGGTTTAGCAACTGCACTAGGTACTTAATAATGCCAATTTTTGTTATTTTCAGAAAGTGGATTTGAAGATGATGAAACTAGCCATGGGTGGATTGAAGGTCTCGCGATTTTAATTTCCGTTATAGTTGTAGTGTTAGTGACAGCGTTTAACGATTATACTAAAGAAAGACAGTTCCGCGGTTTACAAAATCGAATAGAAGGAGAACACACATTTGCAGTTATCAGGGCAGGTGAAGTCAAGCAGATCTCTGTTAGCGACATAGTTGTAGGGGATATTTGCCAAATTAAATATGGTGATCTCTTGCCTGCTGACGGTATTCTCATCCAGTCCAACGATCTTAAGGTATTTTTGTTTAATTAGGATATTGACTTTTTAACTCAGGAACATTTTTTATTAGGTGGATGAATCATCGCTTACTGGTGAATCAGATCACGTGAAAAAAGGAGAACACTTTGATCCCATGGTTCTTTCGGGCACTCATGTCATGGAGGGTTCCGGTAAGATTTTGGTGACAGCTGTGGGTGTTAATTCGCAAGCTGGTATCATCTTTACCCTACTTGGCGCCGCCGTTGACCAGCAAGAGCAGGAAATAAAGAAAATGAAGAAAGGTATGTTTTATCTCATTAAATGCGCATGTCATTGTTTGAATCGTGACCCCCCCGTATTATTCCCATCTGTAAGGACTACTCGTGTTGCAGAATAATGTAACCTTTATTTTTATTGACCTAATCAATTAAATTATTTTAATAAAAAAGTATAAAGCAGCCCAAAAATGTTCTTCTATTAATTTACTGTCATGCAATGCATGTTTTGAAACCATTATTTGAAAACTCACTTTAGACCAATTTCTGACAATAGTACGTAAAGCCAGGTCAGGTATCAACATATTCGGCTGCTAGATATTTCAAGGCCTTAACCACCAAGATTTTTTTAAAATTTTTCTAGACGTTTCGAAACCATAAAATCATTTAAATTTTGAATAAAGAATGCTGTTTTTATTGACCCATAGCGAGCAATCAAATTATTGCGGCATAAGCACGTGTTTAACCTGAACAATTACGGGGTTGCTATCATCATTGGTATTAATGTTATTTTTCCATTCAATGTTATAGTTGTTTGAAAGCAGTGAGCTGAATTGTTAAGTATGAGAATTCAAACTACGCATTTCACTAGTTCATCCCAAAAAATAAATATGAACGATCTAACGTACATGTAGGCGTTCAATAATTGTAATTTTGTCAATTGATAAAGGTCACTGCGTAGATAACTTGCGTGAATTAGAATTTAAATATCACTCATATTTAGTCCAAAGTGCCAAATCTAAGAGTTGCACTATTATGAACGAATTGTAAACAAATAAAAATAAGTTTTTGGTCTGATTTGGTCAATCTATAATGTAGGATTTTTTCTCTGTCATTCAGGCTTCAAATTATATTAAATATAGGCACAATAAAATACATTTTTGTAATGTATTTTAAACTGCTTTTTAATTTGTTTGCCAATTTTTCTGCTATTAATTTCAGTTGAACATTTTCAAGTTTCTAAGAAAAGTAATTTTTTTAATTTTAGCCCTTTATACAAGTTACACTCGTATGTCTGTTATATTAAATATTTGTATTGTGGTCTCAGTAGTAGTTTAGTGAGAGTTCTTACAGATGAAGCATTAAATGACAATTTAAGTGTATTATTGTTAGTTGCACATCTTTAAATGTCTGTAACATCAAATAGAATGTCTGTCTTAACGTGCGAGGGGCTTACAAATTTTCAAAACTGCTGTGATCTTTCTCAGGAATTTTTTTAAAATTATAATTTAAAAAGTGCTCGCCGCCGGTTTTTATTACATGTGAAATGAAAATTTCAGAGCCTTTCCTCGTATTTTAAAAACTTTATTATGGCCCCTTTTCCCCCCCTTTTTAAATATGCATCTATATTGTCTTTGTAGTTCCAGTTTTACTCACATAACCATTTATACTTTCACATAACTTCATCGAAATTGATAAAATAATAATTTGTCCACCAGAAACATCCAGTATTTAAATAAAAAAAATATACATGTATATTTATTTTTAGTATATGATTTTTTTTTAAATATAGTTTTGGCTTAAAGCCACTTACAGTCTATGGTGCAAACGTCTCAATAAAATTTGAAGTTATTCAATTTCCGTCTGGACTTAAATATAGACACTGAGGTCAGTGTCGTAGCAACAACCGCTTGGAACTCTGTTCCTGAACAAGAAAAAAAAACCCTTACTTTTACGCGAACGCAACGTAGCTTTTTGGTTGCTTCTATCAAATGTATCTTTTTAAGTATTGCTGTCTGCACATGTAAGCGTCTAGTATCTGTTTCTGAATTTTTTGGTAGTTGATACAATAATTGGCTTAGATGGAATAATTTTATAAAACAGAAAAAACTGAAATAGTGGGGGAATCCCAGCAATTCAGTTATAAGAATACCTCGGCCAATACTTTTACAATTAAAAATATGTTCTCTGTGTCTGTTCAATCTGTGTCTGTTCAAAAATTAAAAATAACTGCTTTGATATTGACTATTCGATATGACTATTTATTCATGAACATAACTGACACTATTTCCTTTGTGTTTGTACTTGATAGATCTTGTAAAGTTCCATTCATAATTTAAAGCTGTTCTGATTAGTATTTTTGAGTATCCGATCACTAAGCAGTTCACTAATTATTTGGCCACTTGTTAGTGTAATTTAGGGTTGGCGTAGTGGATGATAAGCCGTTGCTATTATCTGAAAATAGCGCTAGTTAAGTAATTTACAGACCCCAATGTTTACTGAAGGCTGAAAACTTTTGCAGATGTTAAATTTAATTTTACCAAACTCTGAATCAATATGCATTATGTTATGTCTTAGTGATCACGACCCTTTCCAGACAGATAGAAATTGAACCAAAATATTTCCAAATTGACAGCTTTCTAGAAATGAAACAACTCTATCTTTCGATTTGATTTTGATATTCATATGTAGACTAAGTTTCTATTTGGACAAAGTATTGATCTGTTTTTACTATATGCTGTAAGATTCATATTTTTATATTTTACCCATGTCAGGACTTTGGGAGTGTTTTTGAGATTGCTAATGTTCTCCTTTTGCATGTGTTTTTGTACAGAAGCTAAAAAGCAGCGGAAGAAGAAAAGTTTGACAGGTGAATAATTTTTTTTACTATTATATTATAAATATAAATAAACTACTTTAAGAGCTTCACTTAAATTGATTGTTAGGTTACTAACGATATTATACAACTTCATGAAAATTTATTTATTAATACAATATTTTAAATATATATGGCTAACCTCCTACCTGCATGGTAATAATAAATTTTCAATTTGTTTTATTTTTTATAACTGTTATATGTTTCCTGTACATTTTCTAATTTTGATCAAATGCCACGGTTTGATAAATTCGTTTACTTTCGGCTCTTTCAACACTATTTTGTGTAGTTTCAGTGTATTATGACAACCGCATATTCAATGTAGTTCAATGCCGTTTTAATATGTTTAGTTGTTTGATTACATATCATTACAGTTTAAAAATGATTTAGTTGTTATCATTTTGGCTGACAACATAAGCGTATTCATTTAATACACTGAAATCATTATTCACATGCATGTTCGTAAATAGAATAAACTTTTCTCAATGAAATTGGTATTCAAAACGTGGCATTCCAAAGGCTTACAACAATCATATACTGATAATATTTCCAAATTAGGCGACGAAGAGAACGTAACCGGAAATAGCCATATGAACTCTCCAGCTCCTGTTGCGAATAAACATGACAATGCAGCTGATGGCAAAGAGAACCATGTGAATACCGCTCCTCCACCAGAAACCACTCATAAGAAGGAGAAATCTGTATTGCAAGCGAAGCTGACTAAACTGGCAATTCAGATTGGTTACGCTGGATCCACCATTGCTGTTCTTACTGTTATCATTTTGGTTATCCAGTTTTGCGTGAAGACCTTTATCATAGAGAAGCAACCATGGAGAAATGCTTATGCTAATCAACTAGTTCGTCACTTGATTATTGGTGTTACCGTTCTTGTCGTAGCTGTGCCTGAAGGTTTGCCATTGGCTGTAACCCTCTCTTTAGCTTACAGTGTTAAGGTAAATTTTACAGCAATCAAACAGTTACTACACCCGTAATGTAGCCCTTAGTCCTCATTGATTTATATTAATTTGCATCATTTTATAGAAAATGATGAAAGACAACAATCTAGTACGTCATTTGGATGCATGCGAAACTATGGGCAATGCAACTGCTATCTGTTCCGACAAAACCGGTACTTTGACCACAAACAGAATGACTGTCGTGCAATCGTATATCTGTGAGCAACTATGCAAGACTATCCCTAAGTTCAGCGATATTCCTTCACATGTCGGAAACTTGATCATACAGGGTATTGCTGTCAACTGCGCTTATACTTCTCGAGTTATAGTAAGAACCATTTCGATTCGTTTGTTGCAAAATCTGCATTATATCCGGATTTTAGCTTCCGGAAGATCCAGCTGAACTGCCAAACCAAGTTGGTAACAAGACCGAATGCGCTTTATTAGGATTTTCATTAAATCTGAACAAGAATTATCAGAATATTCGAGACGACTGTCCAGAAGAATCTTTCACCAGAGTTTATACCTTCAACTCCGTTAGGAAATCCATGAGTACAGTCATTCCCCGCCGAGAGGGTGGGTTTAGGTTATACACCAAGGGTGCTTCTGAAATTATTTTAAACAAGTAAGCACGTCATTTAAAAAGAATGGTATTACTTAGTTACGTAAAACAATCTATCTATTAGGTGTGCCTTTATATATGGTCATGATGGCCGATTGGAGAAATTCACACGAGACATGCAGGAAAGATTACTCAAGCAAGTGATAGAACCAATGGCCTGTGACGGTCTTAGAACAATCTGCGTAGCTTACAAAGAGTTTGTGAATGGTAAAGCAGAAATCAATCAAGTCCACGTAGATAACGAGCCTAATTGGGAAGATGAAGACAACATTGTTAGCAATCTAACTTGCCTTTGCGTCGTTGGAATAGAAGATCCAGTTCGTCCCGAAGTACCAGATGCCATAAGGAAATGTCAAAAGGCCGGAATTACTGTTAGGATGGTTACTGGAGACAACATAAATACTGCACGATCCATCGCTACTAAATGTGGAATTATCAAACCAAATGAAGATTTTCTCATTCTCGAAGGCAAGGAATTCAACAAAAGGATCCGGGATAGTTCTGGAGAGGTAGGCTTTTTAAGAAGAAAATCTGTTTCTTTACCTGCTCATTCAACAAAATTAGTCACACTTTGTTCAAATAAGAACACCCATTTAGATGCAACATTATTTCAAATGAAGAGTTTTTTAGCGTTCGAAAACCCTTTTCATTCGTTCAAGTAGAAATCCGCTCTATTTCGCTGGCTCGTGCAGTTATGCTCTCAAAAAAGAACGTACATCTTTCTAAAGAAAGTTACTTCACAAGGAGTTATTCCAATGGGGTAATTTTATTGATAGGTTCAACAACATCTCCTGGATAAAGTCTGGCCTAAACTGCGAGTACTGGCTCGTTCATCTCCCACCGACAAGTACATCTTGGTCAAAGGTATTATTGACAGTACTGCAACTGATAATCGAGAAGTCGTAGCTGTAACTGGGGACGGAACGAATGATGGACCTGCTTTGAAGAAAGCTGATGTTGGCTTTGCTATGGTAATGAGACGATAATTTCATTTTACCATCGAATGATTAACTGTGACCTGTTATGGTTTTTTAGGGCATTGCTGGTACCGATGTAGCAAAAGAAGCTTCCGATATTATTTTAACTGATGACAACTTCAGCAGTATTGTCAAAGCCGTTATGTGGGGTAGAAACGTATATGACAGTATAGCTAAATTCTTGCAGTTCCAACTGACTGTAAACGTTGTTGCTGTTATTGTCGCTTTTATTGGTGCTTGTGCAGTTCAGGACAGTCCTCTGAAGGTAATTACGACAATATGCTACTTTATTAATGTTTCAGTTACTACTAATCATTTTTTATGTTTTAGGCTGTACAAATGTTATGGGTCAACTTAATTATGGACACTTTAGCATCTTTAGCTTTAGCCACTGAATCACCCACAAGCGATTTGCTGCTTAGAAAACCTTATGGAAGAACAAAACCGCTTATTTCAAGAACCATGATGAAGAACATTCTTGGCCAGGCTATCTACCAACTAACTGTAATATTCTCTCTATTGTTTGTCGGTAAGTTGAATTAGATTGTTCTAATAGCAATTTTTTTACACCAACATTGTTATAGGTGACAAAATGCTAGATATCGAATCAGGAAGAGGGGCGGAAATCGGCGCCGGACCAACTCAACATTTTACTGTAATTTTCAACTCATTTGTCATGATGACCTTATTCAATGAATTCAACGCCAGAAAGATTCACGGCCAAAGAAATATATTCCAAGGCATCTTCACTAATCCCATCTTCTACACTATCTGGATTGGAACTTGCGCTGCACAAGTAAGCTGATTAGTCTTTTAAAAAATTGTTATAATTAATATTGTGCCATTAACTAGGTTGTCATTATTCAATATGGAGGAATGGCCTTTTCAACCAAGGCCCTCACTTTGGAGCAATGGTTCTGGTGCTTATTCTTTGGCATTGGAACACTTCTATGGGGCCAACTTGTTACCACCATCCCAACCCGCAAGATTCCTAAAATTTTGTCGTAAGTTGTCAACATACATAATTGAATTCAATATGTTGCAATGTTTTAATCATTATTTGTACTAGTTACACGTTTAAATATTCTATAATAATATTTGCTGCACATTGCGTTATTCTTAAATATTGTGGTGACTATTAGATGGGGTCGTGGTCATCCCGAAGAATACACAGAAGCTATAGCAATTGGCGAAGAGAAATTTGATGTCGATTCCGACAAGAAACCAAGAGCAGGACAAATCCTATGGATTCGAGGTCTTACACGATTACAAACACAGGTAAGTTCTATTAATAATTCTGGTAGCTACATCAATTAAGTTTTGTAAAAAATATATCGAAATTGGCCGCCTTATCTCTTAAACGGATAGTCGACCAATATAGTGATGAGTCAGAGCCTTTATTGTCCAGCAAATAAATGAAAGCCTCGGACTCATACAAGTGTAATGATATGAAATGTGTGACTGATTTTTGGAACAGAGCTCAGTTTAAGGGTTTCTATAGGTAAAGTCGTATAAACATTGAATTAAGGTCCTCCCATCTGTCTCATCCTTGATTTCCTATACCACTTTTCTATTTTTAGTCTTACTTGACCAGCATGACTGCTGCTTAACAGTTGACAGTGCGTGTCGCAAAATTAATCCTTCCGTCTGGGTGGTCAACTAGTATCGTATTTATTTAAAATTTTATTAAATATAAAGCTGATCTTAAAATCTCAAATAAGATGACAGCATTTTATCTAACCAATTAAGGCATTTCCAGCTAGTATTTTCATAAAACATATACTGGAATAGTATGTATTATCTAAATAAAATGCAAATGAGATGCAGCAGCAGACGCAACACGTACTATTCTTTTATAATCATTAGGGGCTTCAGTTTTGTTACAAAATGTGTGTTGTCCACCCAAGGAATAATTGTTCGCTTCTAGTTGTCAATGTTTTTTTTGTAGCGTTCCTTTTTTAAATGTTTGTCGAATAGATTAACGTTTATGCCTTGCAGGTGCAGTAACTCAATTTTAATGTAGTTTTAACTGATTTAAACACCAAGTATTACTAATATTTTAGTAAGCCAGCAGTGGTTCTACTAATCCCATCTTCTGTTTAGTTTAATTTTTGTATTGAGAGAGTTGGTGATACTTTAAATTTGTTCAGATTGCTTTCCTTTTTTCCTAACTCTCTTTTAGTTTTTAGATGCTTTCTATTTCAATGTAAATGAGTTATCAATGGTATACTTTAATATCAGAAGAATTGATTTTATCTTCTTGATATTGAATTACATTGAACAGCTATTCACTCTTTAGCATGCGTAGAATCAGACACCATTCACCGTAGTAGAAGTTACTTATTAATTTACACTTTGCTAAGCTGGTAAAATATTAGATTACAGTGATAGTCCATATGCATGAAAGATCACGTTAGAAACAGTCCATTTGATAATCTTTTTTGATACTGCTGCTTTCAGTGTCATCACCTAACGTTAGGCACTGAGAAAGTAACAGATAAAAAAGGTTGAAATAAAAATAAAGTAAATCTGAATATAGACGAAAAATATGGCTGTGTTGTCTAAAGTTGCACCTATATACACAAATCTGACCGATTGGCAAACTGTTTGCCCATCAGAGCACTTTGATGCTCGTATTTTAATGTCCTCTGTCTGTTGCGTCATACTTTTACGTCTTTGGTACATCTTACATCAATGGTACTTTAATTCGTGCCGATTTTGCATTAAGTAAATGAAAAATAGTATAAGCATTCTTAGGTAAACATATATACATATATGTATATATATTTACCGATCTTCAGCAACGCGTTTTTTGATAGCCTGGCATAGATATTTTTGGTTTGTCTTGTAGATAACGTTTTTACATTTAAGCTACGTATCTGGTCAAAATATGTTTATATATAATATGGTCAAAGAATGTTTATCCTTCAGAATTTAGAAGAAAAGTACACTTTTTTATCTAAAAACTCAAAAATCTTTGAACTCTAAATTACATTTATCTATGTCATGCGCTAACGACGAAAATCCGTTTCATCTAATATTTGCAGACGGGATGACCCTATTTAAATATAAGAGGTCTTAGAAGTAGCTGACATGTTGGATGTTGATATTTGATAATTTCAAATTGGAATTTTTTACATACATGTAATGCTATTTTTTTGGTACTCTGCCGAATATGCATATGGGTTTGTTTGATTAATTAGTTTGCTTTTATTGGCATTACATAAAATATACTGAAGCCCATTTAATTATACTGTCATACCAAACATTAGGTATTTATTGCATTTCCTGACATTTTTGGGCAACTCTGTTATTAAAGTCAATATTTTCGTATGAATATTTGGGACATTTTGCACTAATTAATGGTTAAAGAAAATAATCCATTTGATATTTTTCATACAATACAAGTAAAATTCCAATTTAAAAATGTCTAATATATGAACAACTACTGATAGTTCGTTAAGCTCCTGGATGTTTTCCACTATGGTCGCACATGTAGCAACAGTAAAAATAATCAACATTTTTGTACGTTTGATAGCCAGCTGAAGCGATGAAAGAAACTGAGGTATAGGGAACCGTTGGGTGTATCAAGCAAATTCCGCCACACAAAACAAGTATGTAGTTGTAGTAGGCCTTCTTTTAGCTGAACTGCGATTGCCGACTATTTGCACTTCTATACAATGTTAGATGTTTTTAGAGCCAAACCTTCCTGGATGTGTCTTGTCGCCCCCTTACCCTGTACCTCGTTTAGTTTAGTGGTACCATTAGCCAATACCATCAATTGATCTGTCACTTTATACCAACATGACCAAACCGATACCTTTTACGAGCGTGCTGCTGACAACACAGCCAGTTATAAGCGTTTGGGTTTTTTCGGGTTTGATGACTGTTTTAGGGATTTTTGGATTTTTGTTTTTGGCTTATGACCAGATTTATTTAAATATGGCTTAAATTAAAGAACGGAATGTCATTGACCTTTTAATTCTACAAAAATCCAAAAAACTCTTCAATTAATATATTTGCGAGCAGTGTATGTACATATGAATGATTGTATTTAACATGTATAAATGTGTGACTAACATCTAGCGCAGCTTTCATATTAACGAATGATTGATCTATTAACGAATGGCGAAAGTTGGTGTTCTGGAAAAGTATGTTACAGTATTACGCCCTCTGCGCTGTTTCTATGATCTGTCTCTTTCACTATCTTTTGGTTTTTATGTTTTTCCGTTTTGAGACTAGAGGATGAGGGACTGTAAATATAGCTCGCCAACCATTTCTAACAAAACACACTTACATACCATTATACTAATTCGACAAACAATGAAAGAAGTAAACACACTATTAATGTGATTTTGCACTGGGTTTTGTTTTTAGGTATATATTTCATAGTTACTATTTTACGCTAGGCGTTGTATATTTTTGGAATATTCTTGCTCTTGTAATTTAATTTTGTATATATGTGTTTACTTTTTTTCTCGTTATTTTCTTCAGTATCCAAGCAATCGCATACCTATACCTAACCTATCAGTCAATATTGACTTCAAAGATCATGTTTTGAATCGCTTCCAGTTAATTATATTTAGTATAGACTTCGTAGAGACCTAACTTATAATCTGTATATTTCATCAATTTCTAAAAATTGTGATAAGGTGGCCCACAATTTAAAGTTAGTTCCAACTATAAAGGGTGCCTCAAAAATGCTAACATGTTCACATGCAGCCAAGTTTTTAGAGTGGGTAGGTTTCCAGAAGACATACTATAGAAAATGCGAACCATTTTTGATATAATGCGGAAGAATATGAAACTGTAGCACCTAATTCAACAAAATTGTAAGACATCTTCAATAGTTATTCGCTCGTCATTTCTTCTGACAACTACTATAAAAATTGTTGTATAAGTTTTTCCTTTGACAAATTTCATTTCAATTTAAATGTATAAAAAATGTCCCGAAACCTGCGTTTTAAATTTAAATAACCTTCGACTGACATTTTTCGGTTATTGGAACGATTAATTGCCATTGATTACACGAAGGAAATAATTGAAGAAAGAACACTACCGTTAATATGGAAGTAACAAGTTAGAAGAGCCATTCGCACGAATCTTCATACTTTTGGGGCACAAATATTTATATCTTTGAATTAGGAAGGAGGCTTTTTGAATACTTAATTCATTCGTATACGTTTTGGATAATTCTTATTGGATTTACTTAAATAATTATTTCTGTAATTATAACAATTATTGGTTTTACGTACCTATTTCGTATTACTAATAACAGTTTTTTTTGTTAGGTTTGATTTTAACGAGTCATGTTACAAGCTTACTTGTTTTTTCCATAAAATATCAGTTTTTTAGTAAATCTTTTGCCACTCGTGTAGCATATAGCAATTATCCGGAAAATGGTTAATTTTAAAATTTGGCTGCACTGCTTTTGAGAAAACGTCGAAGCAGATATTAATTTAAAACGTAGGTTTTTGGACATACTGAACAGCTAAGAAATTAACTTTGATGTGGGTTGAATATCTAGCAAAGCAATGCCTCGATTTTTTAAATTTTGTTCTAAAGTTTCACAAGTATCCATATTTTGTCAAATTTTGTGTATTTTCCATAATGAATTCAATAACGTAATCGTATCTAGACAGACGTATCTAAAACATCCTGTATATAAATTTAGTCTAACGTTTCCTCGTTTGAGATAAAGGCTCGATTAAGACGGGCCACCGATTCCACAGGGCGATTCAAGTTTAATCTTGATAATTTCAGGAACAGTTTAGAATAATGTGTCTACATGAATACATTTTTTACCTAAGTCGCATCGTTTCGAAGACAGAAGGTGCTGAAATAACATGATTTTTTTCTGATTAAGATGAAATTCAAAACACAAACACTTCTAATGAAGAATAATAATAGGGTTTTAATCCGTCACAATGTCCGGACACAGCTGATATACCAGACACGACCAAAATTCCGTCACAAAAGCAAGATGTAAAACGTCAGTTCAATCAATAAATCAAATCTATGTGGGTTTCCACGGCCTAAATATCGCATTAAAGTATCGCGTTGGCTTATTAAGTTGTTTATATTTTATCTAAATGTAAAAAAACTAAGAGACAAAGAAGTGTAGAATTTAATCAGTGAATTTACAGGTGTTTTATTGAAATATTTTTTTGTTTAACAGGGGGTGGCACACAAAATACACTTCCAAGGAGGAAGTGTGTTTGAAAAGTAAGGGGAATATGCAAGGTCATTAGAAGTATTTGTGTCCCGAATTTTACCTGCAGTGGTTCAAAACGCATGGAGAAAAAGCGGGAAAAAGTCTTATTTTAACGCTTTTTATCTCCGTAACGATGCGATTTCAGGAAAAAATCGATTATATGTAGGGACATTTTTCGAACCTGTTCTATCGATTCCTGAAGTTGTAAAGCTTAAACCTGAAGCACACTGTAGTTTTCCATTAATTCATATGCGATCTTAATATCAAACATATTAAGAAACATTATCTTTGAAATTCGGTTGGGAAAAAATTTAGGTAGGGTTTAAACTATCACCAGCTTAAGGAAAAAAGGAACGGCAAAATTTTATAAAGAGTACTTTTTAACTTACCTATTGAGACAGAATAATAAATATATACTTTTGAAAATCCCTCTAACCAAAATGTGAATAACAGCGTGAGTGCTTTTTAAATATAATTTTGGTGTTTTGACTAAAAGCTACATGATTCTTGAATTATTTAAATCAGAGGTCAAAGCATCAAAGTTTCTAAATGAGTGAAAGCAGCAAGGGAGACCAAGCTCAGAGAATGGACACTTTTGAGTGTGATTTGTTCTACTAAAGAAAATATCGTCATCATTCAAATTTTTTCAGTGTCATTAAATGAATGTGCAATTAAGAATGTTGAAAACAAAAAGGACAAATTACTAGTTTCTGTAGAGTACCTTCAAGTTCACGTGGTCAGACTTATGGGATTAGGAAATAGTAAGGGATCTTGACTTCGAATAAAGTAATAGGTTCAAATGATTCCGATTCAGTATTTTATGTCACTATCAAACAGAATAAGTGTTCGACTGTTACTACAAGACAGTAAAGACAATAAATAATAAACAATATTTGAATGATGATGTATGCCGGGGCAAACCGAGACTATGCTGTCGGCTTGTCCCATGTGTGCGAGTGCGTGCATGTACTCCCGGCCCGCCTGATGAGACCCTGCTTCCCTGTGTTTGCAGCTGCGAGTAATCAGAGCTTTCAAGTCTACCCTGGAGGACCTAGAAGAGCGCCGCTCGGTACATAGTTTACACAGCTTACACAGTTTGCGCAGTTCGCGCAGCCACACCGGTCCCTGGCCGCCGCGGCCTCTATCAGACATCACTTACATTGACGAAGATCCGGCGAACCCGGTGGCACATCGCGTCAAGGACGACCAGCGCCCTGTCCCTTCTCCCAACACCTTGCGACTACCTCCTCATAATGCGCAGTATGCGCCTGCCTCTCCTGCGGACCTGCCTAAGCCAGTGCATGAAACGCGCATCTAGTGCCGTCAGTCCTGGCCGCAGCGCGTGCATGCTCATTCGCGGCGACCAAAGGGCTCTAAGCGCGTGCGCACGATACGGCTCGATACCTCTACGTGGTGAGCGCGCACTCAGTTTCATGCAGTTCGGTTGAATTCCGCTGATAGCGCTTGTCAATAATACATATCTGCAGTCCTCTCCTGTTATTGTAATATCATGTCACCCTGACAATCACTAAATAGAGGCTCGTAATTTTTTATAAAACCCATAAATATCAATATTTCTATGCATCACAGGAAGCATTGTGCATAGTTTGGCTTTAAGTTTATCTGCCCCACATTCAAAAATGTTTACTAGCTATACTGCTTACAGCAAAAACTCCAACGGATAGCTAGCCTTAGATTCAGTGTATACTTTGTTCAACACACTCCACATTGTCACATTTTCGAACAGCATTACATTTTTAATTAAGGACTTATCTGGTACTAAAATATATTTGAAGCAACTTTGCTTCTTTGTGTGTACGTTATTACCAGCTTTCACTGCCAGATAATGGCTCCATAATTTGCTTGATTCAAGGTAATAATGTGAAGTTCTAATTTTTAAGGACGCGTCACTATTCGCATTATTACATTTGAGTGAGTCAAGGAAATTTGATTCCTAGCAGTTATTCACAGACAAGTAGCAATGCAGCAAATTACGACCGATAGTTCACTTTTCACAACTGTCTCGAATTTAGAGGTAATTTAGTGTGCACGCCTCGTTGAGGTCATTCGCGCTGCGGTCTAGGCCACTCCAAGCTAATCAACTAGTGTGTTTTTTTTTTGTTTTTAGCAAATCCATCTCCTTTCCACATCTTAACCTCATCCTAACTGCTACAAACCAATTTCGATATGTCCTTTACCTTAGTGTATATACCTCACTGGCCCAATCAAGTTTTAATAAGACGGTTTTTAGTCATTGTGGGTTTGTTGATTGATTGCTACCAGTTTGATTGTAGGGCGAGTCAGTGTTTAAAAACTGTTAAGAAAAATGATCTGCTATTTTTGCGCTCTATTGAACGACGATCCAAATGATACGAGCAACTTGCAATTGCAAATGTTGATATTACATATATATACATGTTAGTAGTTACTTCTCGACTAGCATTTGGTAAATGTTAGGTTGAATTTTATTGGCGGTTGATATGTTAATTGATACTGTGGTGTCCTTTCTTGAAATCGATTGCCAAACAATTTGATGGGTGCTTCGCATAGTACGGTAATTGTGTATGGTTGCATATTGCATATTGCATCAACTCACACGTTGAGTTTATGCAATATATCATATTGGCATATCACATCATGGCAGTGACATCTTTTATTTTGTTTGTGTCTTTGTTATTAATATTACGTCATGCAACAGCCAACTGCGAGTTTAAATAGTCTTCCGAGTTATAAATATATAAAATATGCATCAACATCAGTTTTTGAGTATAGTGTTATTAAAGCTTGTTTGGGTACATTCGGTTTTTGAATTAAACCTCTCGTTAGCTTAGCATAGTAGGCATAATATTGACCGAAACCATTACTACATTGTATTATTTTGTATATATACATATTTCGTCTTTGATGTAGAACTAGCTGTATGTATAGCATCTTATAGTTAGTACTCTCAGGTTAGTGGTAATGGAAACAAATGATATTTTATTTAAAAACTTGTTTAGCGCATGCACACTTTTGGGTGTCAAATGTAATGTATACCAAAACGGCCAACAACATATATATGAATTTTTGCGGAAGCTGTTTGCATCAATATAACTTGAAATTTGCAGTTGTTAACGTTGTGAGATTAAAAATCTCGCTATTTTGCCAAAAAAAAACTTATTTGCTGCGCACGGCTGTGTGGGTCAGCAGGCTATATTTACTTAATCCTTCGATATTAGTTATTAAATAGTATACACAGTAATTGACTCATCTTACTTTATCCTGTTTTATTTTATTTTCATTATTACAATTATTTTTCATAAATAACCAGTTTCACCTAATTCTTGTTTTGGTTTCGCTGATTATAGCATTAACTATGGGATTTGTCTGTGGTCGCATTCCAAATTCAAACTGCATACACTGAATGTGTATATTAGAATTTCAGCTGTTCAACAACAGAAAAGTAGTTCTGTTGGCGTGATAGAACAACTTGCGTGCTATTCATTACATCAATGTATCGCGTTCCATGCGGAACTAACATTTTTCGGTATCATTATTAGATAGACACTTATATTTTTATTTCCTGACCCGTATCCCTTTACTGCAATTTTAGGGCGCTATTGTGCATACTTTCATAATCTGTTTTGAAATGCTATGTTCTTAATATTCGGCATTGAGCCAAGGCAAAGTTACACACGTTTGAGCTACCGTTTGTCTGTTATTATCTGATTCACTTTATAGATCACGTCTACATATATTTATATATATATATATATAAGTAGATCTACATCTTCGTTTTGCAAAAATACAGCGACCAGTTGGCTTGCTGACTTTCTTGACTAGTTTATTTACATCAATATACAGAATAAAGTTTTCGTCATTTGGTTTTATTTCTTTATGACCCCACCCTACCACCTAACATACTAACTTTTTCACTTTATCTGTTTATACATTGCTTAAACACGAACTTGTAAATCGCATAAATCTCTTGTCTTGCAAAGCTTATCAACATGAAAGTAATAATAGCTAAATTACAGAAAAGCAATTATTTGATTGGTTAACTGTTGTTAATTGATTTAATTATGTTGCAACTTGTTATTTGTGTTCCATATCACTAAATTAATTAACATAGTCTCTGTTTTATTGGAATTATAATAGTAAATATGAATTGTTGTAAATATATGTTTTTGCATTTTGCATGACATAATAATATATGTTTGGTGAGGGTTTTAAAGAAATAAGATCTTTTTAGGTTTGGTAAGATGCATTTTGTCCCGAAAACGTTTTTTCCTAATTTGAAGCTTAATTAACCTTGACCCTGTAAAAAGAATCCAAACCCCTCAAACAAAAATGCCTTTGGTATGTTGCTTATTTTATTATTGTTGCATGACAATTTGTATTATTAAGAGAAAAAAATATCTACAAGCCAGATCTATAAAATTATTAATAGCAGAACATTGCACTGTTTGTAATAGTAATATGTAAATGTTCTCAACATTAGGATACGAAAACTTTCAGGACAATTATGTGGGCTTACCAAAACTATAAACTTGCATTTATAAATGGCGCTGTCTTTTTACAAAATTCATTCAGGTTTACTAGTAGTGTCTATTATTCTGTGCACTATATTTTATTGTTTTGTGTGTTCACTGTCTGTCGAATCACTCTTTAATGTTCCCCTTTGTTACTTCTTGAAGGTGATAGGCGGTGAATTACAAGAACGTTTGATTCCGGTTCCATACAGCAAGAGTTCAACTGACCAAGCTGTAAGCTGCTTTCCTACATCTATTCTGTCCGCTGTGTATTTCGTATGCGCTATTCGCTCTTGTTTGTACTTTTTTGGCGCGCAGGCACTTCCACTGCTTCAGTTTGCGTTCTTCAATCGCATTGAAAAAAGTTCCAACCTTCCAATTATAATTCTGTCATCACTATTCGGCATATTTGTGCCTCTCTAATTAATTGAAGCAGTGAAGTATGTTTTATTTTCAGTTTTGTTTTGAGTTTCTAGTGACTTGTTTATATTTTTGCGTGTTTCTTTTTGGTTTTGCACGTTGCATGCATCCTTTTGTTGTTTTTGTTTCAAACACTTTGTTCACTGATGCATAATATCGCTCAAAACGAGTATTAAGCTCGGCCGAATTTTGAAAGCTTAAATTTTCGTTCACCAGGCAGTTTTTCAACCTCTATTCTAAAACGTTGCATTTAATAAATATTAAAACACTTTCCTCCGTTAATTTGGCTTACATAAATTAAGAGAAAGCACTTGGTTATAGATAAATACCAGAAATTCCAGCTTGATATAAATAGTGTACATATTAAACGTTTTTACAAAAAAGCCGAATGGTTTTTGTGTTACACAATCGCATCGAAAAATAATTTCACAAAAATTAGAACCTCTGGAAGTTCTCTATCAAAGTACTTACCAAGCAACATGTACATAAGGGTTCTAATTTCTGAGCGCTTGATGCTATTTGAATGTTTTTTTAGTGTAAATAGAGATTATAATTGTTAGACAGACTTTAAATGGTGACTCATTCATAAAGTTATTCCTCGTTTTTAATATTACTAATTATTTCGCGTTAATGCATAATAGTATTTTAGTTTTTGCCTGGATAGAAAAACTAATTTTCTTTTAGCCTCGAATATTTACCTAATAGTTATATCTCAAATATTAGCGCCTGATGCTTCTTAATAGATAATGACGGCCTCGTTGCGCACAATTCTAGCGTTGTTTGTTAAATTACTGTAGAGGCTTCTATTTATTTGTATAAATTTGTTTACGATCAAGTTGTTTCCTGGTTGTTGTATAAATTTTTATCTTTTTGTATGTGCGATCACAAATGGAGACTATTAGCGTGACTCATTATGGTGCTCTAAAAGCTTGAAAATCCAGAATAGAATCAATCCTAAACAATATCTTCATTCAATATGATTTTAAGCAAATGTGGTTCATATCAGTCGAATGTAAATTTCTCGATTTTCAATTCATTTAATTGAGTGTCATTTTGAGTTAGTATCCGTGTCGCAATACATACAACTTTTCATTGAACATGTACTTGGTTTTTGTTTTAACACAGTTGCGATAATTTTTTTAAATAAATTTTTTTAAATTCGATAAATTTTATTTTTGACTAAATGCCAGTTTGTGTTTTGATGGCCTTTTTATGTGCGTATTTGTTATTAATTGTTTACTTTTACTGAATTTTGGTGTGTTTACTAATACCCACATATATACATACATACAGGTGGGGCAAAGTCAAGTAAGCAATCTAAGCAATATCTGGTAAAAACTGTATGTATAAACATTGTTATTCGTGTGTGTTTAAGTGGTGCTCAGACAATTTAAATTGTGTTATTTGTGGAAATTGCAAGTTCAATGTTTTTATCCTAAATTATCATTCGATACGACAAGATCTGACTGCTTGCTATTCATCAAGGTGTAACGCCATTGCAGTGCGATCTTTTCAGCCTACTGTCTTGTTAATCTATTTTAAACTCGAGAACTCGTACTCACCTTAAAATTTTACTAACTATTTCAAATTTTTCATTTCCCTAACAGGTTATTCTGACTAACTAGTATAGTATTAGAAAGAATCATTCAATATCTTCTTTTATATTCACCAATGTGTTAAAAATCATCTGATGTGATTTTTAATAATCGTCTTTAATTCATGTATTCAATTCGTTCACCAGTCAGGATAATAAGTTAGAGAGAAATATTAAGAGTTTATAATTATGTATCAACTTTCCCATTGATGTTTAAACCCAACCCCAATCTTTATTCCTTCCATATATGATAAAGTTGACTGAAGGCAATCGGCTTTTTAGTTTCCTACTGCTTTTCATCCTGCGTATTTAAGATCCGATCACGGCATGCAACGTAACACCAATACATAAACAAAACACACTGTCTCCTTTTCAATCCTACACTGTATGTATGCAAGCCACAGCTAACTAGTGTGGCATGTATATATGAAGTTTGCATGTTGGCTACATCCTTCCAAACTAAAGGTAGATTTTTCCTTAGATTGTAAATTGAGTTCGTGTACATATGTAATATTTTTGCTAAAATCTACCTTACTTTGGCCCCGAGAATGGGTTCTCCCAAGTTCAAATATATTCTCTGTCCTTATCACACATTTTAAAGTTAATATTCAGTCATTTTAACCATTCTGAACTAACTCAAAGGATGTCAGATCAGCTCAGCTGTAATTCCATACGTGGTTATTCTTATCAAAACCTTAGTCTGGAGCAACATGGAATTCTCAGTTAAAAACTATATTTGCCTATCATTGTTACTTGAATATATTTTATTTAGTTTTGAAAACCAGAAGCTCTTTGACAGCCCTTTTCTATGAACACTATAAAAGTAAAATTGTCTAGATCAGAAAAAATCAATCTTGTACTAATTTTTGTTGCTACTACTTTAACATGCTTCATAATTCTTGTACAAAAAATATTCTATAGTAAAGTGGCGCTCATTAAGGAAGCACTTTACGAATTAGTCTCGAAATTTATGTCATTATTTCGGTAAGTACACTTTAACAGTTTAACTTTCCCGAAATCCTAAAAAAATTCTTGGGTATCGATATTCCTACCTGTAAAAATTGTGTGTATGTGCCATTAGAGTTACAATGTTTACCACAATAAATTAAATATTAATTAGTTTGACGTAGAAGTTAATGCCCTATTTGGCAAGCCGTTGATAACAGTTACCTCGCCGATTAAGAGAAATTGTTCAGTAAAATACAAATAACTTTTTTCTTATGAAATCGCAACTGGTGTTAACATCACTTGATTTTGTATTTAATTTTCATTTTATTTATATTTGAGTATTAATTTTCTGTTGATGGCTACGTTTGTATGTAGAGTAACATTGATGCAACACGCGAGGCAACATTCGACGGCTTGCTTTTTGCTTGCAACCTTTAGTCGAGTCGTAGATATTTATTGCTAACTTTTCACTAGTTGTATTAATTATGTCCTTACTATGTATTAGAGAAAAATTTCTTTTAATGAAAAACTAGTAGCTTTGGTTTGCTAGAAATGTCTAGATAGATTCCTTTAAAACTTTTTAGTAGCATTTTAAACTTAACAAACCTCTCAAGTAATAGCTTGAATTATTTCCGTAAAATAGGCACCAAAAGTTAGTAATTGAGTTAAAATGGATAAATGAATACCATACATTCTACTAATTAATGGTGCAGGCTTAGGAGATATAATAAATTTTTGGAATGAGTAACATGGTAGTTTTATGCTCTTCGGTTTGAGGGTTACGAATTTCATATTAAATTAGTTTGACTTATATAAACTAAATATTGATAATCTAATTAAACAGCATGAGGACAAAATTTTGTGGTGAAAAGTAATACGAGCGTTTAGCACGCCAATTATTCTATACAGGGCGTCTCAGAATACGGGAGCATTTTTCGAGTTCGGATAGAGCAGAAAAAAATAGGAAAACATTGCTAATGGAATAAATATTTTAATTTGATTAACGGCAGTTGATCTTGCCCAAAAAGGATCCATTAAAACAAGTTGGTTTTTTTTTGGTATGCCAAGTACAAAACAGGTTCAGTTTAATACGGCTGATTTTATATAATAAAATGTAGTGTTCTTTAAATAAGTGGAATTTTTCCAACAAAAAGAGGGGTTAATATTTTTATTCAAGCTCCATGTAATAATATTTAATTATTTTATTTTATTATTACTTAATGCATTATTTAATATACCCTAACATTTTAAGTAGACATTCATTTTCTAGCTCAACGAATCAAATATTGTTTTGTCCATCACCGGATATAATAAAAAAAATTGCATTGTATCAATTATTTTACAACTTGTCTAGTAGTCAATAGTCTAAAAAGGGATTCTCTTTAAGGAACTGCCATAAAGACAGGGGTGGATTCAGCTTTCGAGTCAGGGGGGGGGGTCAAGTAGTAGAATTTACAACAGTCTTTTGTTGTCTAAGAAATTATAAAAATTATCGTTAGTCGTTATAAACCCAGCACAAGGGGGTGGTCATGACCCCCATCTGGATCCGCCCTTGCATAAAGAATCTATAAGAACTTGTACTATATTTAATGCTCTATACGAGACCCAGTGGGTACCCTTCCGTATTCTGGGACACCCTACCCTGCATTCAATTTGGAGGTAATTTCCAGCAAAAGTTATAATTGAAAAAAGTCAATGTGAAAACTTACTTTGATGCACATGATTTCCATGGGAAACTATTTCAAGAAAAATTTGGTGTTTTTTGACTAATTGGGCTCTCGGGAGTTGATTTAAATGCTCAAAACTTTTTAATATGCGCTCTTGCGCATATTATTATAAAGGAAATGGCAAATCAAGAAAAAAACAATGTTAATCAGTACCTGCGAAATGCTCTGAAAATTTGAACATGTAATTGCAAATTTTTATTTAACGCAACTAGTTATTTCTTCTTTAAAAGCTAACTTTTATCTGAAAATGAAAATATTTTAAAAGCAAAATGCATTGTACTTTTTAAATACAAATTGCAGATGAATTAAACATAAGTGAACATTGTCTACACATCATTATAATTTATATGTTAAGTAACAGCATGTTATTATTTCTCTGTACAAATTGCAACTAATTCAAAATAAAATTCGTAATTCTCCTGCAAAAAAAGTAATTATTATGTTGAATATTTCAAAATGGTTGAATCATCGTAATCCTGCAACATTTATATAAGACGTCTTAATCTGTATGCTTTGGAATGGAGTGATTGGCTATTCTTTATTTAATCAGGATACTAAATTTTGAGCAGAATTTGAGATTGGTTTAATCTAGTTGGTAGTACACAAATTGGCTAATAATTGTGTAACTAGAAAGGGCAAACCCGATGTTATACCATTATAACTTGGCGCATTTTTACTGCAGCTAGTGAAATTTTTCGTATCTGAGTAGTGCCTAACAATACTTCAGAATTTTTTTGGGATAGCGAAACCTTTCTTAGAAAGGTATCGGTGGAGAAACCATGTCATGGGGCTTTTAGAGTAAAACCTTGCACGAAATGTTTTCCGAATGTGCTATCTAACAGCTCGCCAATATTTTCTTCGGGAAAGTTTCTTATTTTTAATTCTGTTCGTTTTGGTGTTTCTTGTTCATTTCAGATTCGAGTAGTTAATGCTTTCCGACAGGGCCTAGACGCTCGATACGGCGAGCACAGCAATGCTTCTCTCGCTGAGGTGCTGCGAAAACAAACTTCCCTTTCTAAGAGGTTGTCTCAAACCTCTTCCCTAGAATATGTGGACAACATCCCCGACGAACTGACTATTCCAGAGATTGATGTGGAGCGACTATCGTCTCACAGCCATACGGAGACGGCAGTTTAGCCATCGTTAAGTAAGCTGCGTAGCTCCACTTGTACCTAAGCTGCTAAAAACGACGTCCAGACTCGTCTCGCCCGCTATGTCAACGTAAGTTTAAGCTGCAACACCCGTCGTGCCGTGCCGTGCTCGAACCTCGAGCGGACGCAATCGCGGAACTGTAGTCGGGGGTGGCAGGTCATTATTTACCCGGTACCATTCTGGAACCTACTAAACCTCGGCATCATTCCACCTCTTACAATTCGCCTTTCGACGCTAATAAGACAGTGTGAAGCATAACGGATTGTTTGGTTGTAGAATGGTATCGTTTCTCACAGAAGAGCATATTTTTAAAGCAGTCGCCACCGAGCTAAAAGCAATAAGTGTGGCCAGGTGCCTGCGCGGGGAATAGTTTGAAACCGCAACCCCGGTCCAAATATCAGCCTTTCGCGGAAACTTTTTCTTGCCCAACCGAAGCATTTGGTCGACTTCTCATGTAGTGGATGTAATTTGTGATTGCGATCTTCTGAATTTTCTTAAAGCCTGCTCTTCAGGACGCTATCCGCCTTCCAAAGATATATTCAGTTAGGAAATTAGGAAAAATCACATCCTTATCTTATGTCCACTTAGGGAAATGTTCTTGATGCCCAAATTCATCACGGCACCGGATTTATCCGTCACCGATTTCGCTATTTTTGCGTACGTAGAACGTCCCCGGTCGATTAACGTTGTCAATAATTTCGTCGTTTTCATTTCTACTAACGATGTCTCAAGACATTCATTGTGGCTTTGATAAAGTATTGAATTTTTATGCAACTTCTCCGAAATCAGTGGTAAATCCCGGACACTTGTTACGGAGAGGAAAGATTCCAAGCCAGCCTATATCGCCTATTTAAATAATATATTAATTATTAAATTAAACATATTAATTACAGCAGTTCATGTGCCCAAAATTCCAAAAAAAAAGTATTTGTTTTAAAAAAGCCTAAGAAGCCTAGAATGGATAGTTCTCTTGATGCTTATTAATTGAACATTCGTTAGTGGGAACCTGACCACGAGATTGTTCAGCGACGTGAATAATTTGTAATTTCATAGCTAGTGGCAATTGTTTGTTAATCACCCAATATGGTCTCTGCCTGATTGAAATCTATTATTATCTAGGTCTAAATTATATTATACAGTTATGTAGATAGATTAGAATAAATTATTGAAATTGAAACTTAAGAGATTTGCGACATGCTTGGTTGTACCTAGGTGAAAAATTGCAACTGGGCATGTCGCTTAGGCGCTACTGCTGATGCTTGTAAACTTAATGGTTTTGTATGTATACTAACTCGTTCATTTTGTTTGTAGGAATTCGTTTTATTTGTAAAATACGTAGAAATTAACTATAAAAGCTGTGCCTACTGGCAAGCCCACCACGCGACTGTTGGTGACGCTAAAACAGAATATTCTTATTTACTCTGTGGGTTAGCGTATTCTACCTAACAAAACAATCTCGTTACTTGTAGGGAACCTTACATACTATATTGGCATGTGGATGATAGTTGCCTACACTAAATGAGAATTTTCTGTGAACGTCGTGTGTACAAAATATCCTACCTTTATATGTATTGTCGCAATTTTGAGGTAGATATGTGATAGATATAGAGTGATAAATGCGTTCTCTCTCTCTAGAAATAATACGTGTCTGACGAAGCAGCCTAAACACCGCGGCTTGTCACACGCACATTTTAAACCTACACTCCGTATCGGAATAAGCTTCTGTTCTTTTAATGACGGAAAATAAGGTTTGTTTTTTGATTGCTAAAAATAAACCTCTTCTTCCTAGCAAATACAGTATTTTAGCAAATATATTTCTTTTTTATTTCATTGTAGGTTATTTGTTTGAGTTTTTAGTCATATTTTATTCATATCCCCATTATAACTAATCGTATATCAGGACATTCTATTATTATAACATATCTTTAGGTTTTTTAGCTTCAATTCGGACGTAGCGACATCTTTAATTTTTGTTTAATCTTTTCAGGCACCAAAACAGTTATGATATTTTAATAAATTGATTTTAGACATGCTTAAATACTGTTTTTAATTCGACGCGAGGTAATTTTTGAAAAATTGCTTATTTTCCAGTCTGCAGGTATGGTGGTCAGCGACACTTTGGATACATTTCTGAGGCAAAACTATGGTAAATAATTACGTTCGGCCTAGCAATGGCATACGATTTTGTCTCAGAAAACCGTGCTGTTTTTTCGCTCTAATGGATCGATCATAGAGTTCAGTGCGTACATTTCTAAGCTCTCGCTGATCATCTAGAAATAAATCTGCGCACCACACTCACCCTCTCGTGCGTAGGTTTGATTCTTTTGACCCGACACTATAATCTAACTAAGTTATTTTCGACTCAGTTCCGTGACTCGTAAGTGACTTCAGAAATGCCGAGACTAAATTCGAAAATATTGTTATTCGGCGCTGGAAGTCCATGTGTTTTCGCGCTGGATACACCAGGACGAACCTCACCACATTGGATAACTTAATATAGTACAATTATTCCAAGATTGATTTTCCCGAACCTCACGTAAGAAATAGCTATTGATCGGGTGTTTGTATTGTATAACGAACAAACGTATGACATATTATTATTAATGTATATTATTGAACTCAAGTGTCGGTCAACCGGGTTGTTTTCTGTGTAAATCGCAGACTCTCCACCATCTCGGGCTCTGGCACGTTTTTCAAAGGAAACACAAACCAAAAAATTTCCTACTTATTAATGCCAAATATTTGTGAATTGGCATTTCAGTTAAATGTTGTTATTTGTAATTTTAATGGTAAAATATGAAATCGTTAATTTGTTATAATTGTTATTTTATAATATAAAACTGATGTATAAAGCAACAGCCTCTGTCCGGGTTTTGGTCTTTTGAATAATATCGGCCATTGCGGACATCTAATTGTCTTAATATAATGTGCTTTTATTTATAAAATAAAAGATCACGAGCTTTAAATTAATGAGAGGTGGATAATAATTAAACGTAATATTTAAGGTGTTAATGTTCCATTTCAGGATCAAATATAATATTTTTGTGAAAAAAGCTTTTTTTATTCCGTGTTACGTTTATACGTTTTGCCCTAAAGATGTAAAGTTATTTCACGATAATTGTTGTAACAATATAATAACAAAAAACAAAATACTGCAAATATTTTCATAAACCTTAAAACATTTCAGTAAAATATAATCACGCATATATACATATAACTGAATTTTATTTAACTACCTAGCCTCTATGTAATTTTATCTATCCCAAAAAAAAACTGCAAAATATGCTTAGCTTATAGTGGTTCTGATATAGTTATAGTACTTATACATAATATATACTTAAAGTCCTTTAACATAGTACTTATATTGTATAATATTACAATTATATTTAATTATAAAATTACACTTTTTCAATACTTATAGGTTCTACGCAGCACCCTATACTGTCGTGCTGTCATTGTTCTTTCCTATTTCTGTTTCTTGTCTAGACGCGGATCACTCTTAGGACGACTGAATAGACACTGTATTTGTTGAACAATTTGAATATACTTAAACCATACCAAAATAGAGATCATTACAGTAAAATACCTATCTAAAAGTATATTGTATAAATTTACTGCAATCCGTTTTCTGGGAACGGCGCTGCGCGTCTGTTACCCAGATTTTGAGAGTGGTTTTGATATTTTTGTAAAAATTAATGGGTCTTCTTACGCCGAAGAAATATATGACAAAGTATTGTTTTTTATCCTAATTGTTTTATTTTGTAAACCTCGAACTTTAACCATTTCAAAGCTATCATAGTTCAAAAACATGAATAACAATGCTTTAAATACTGGATTACACTCCAGTGCTATACGGCTTATGTGTTTTTACATACAGTCTTTTGTTACCCGCTATAAACAGAACATTCCACCTTTCATTGTGAATAAAATATCACACTTAATTATTTCAACTGGAAACATCTGGAGGTATTTCCACGTATTTGCTGTACGCGTGTTACGGTTTGCGTATTTGCTTTCACTACTAATAGCAAGGGTGCGGATTGAAGTTAACGTTTCAATTTCTTTACATACTATCTTATGTCGATGCCACACTGAGCGCTATGGTACATATACTATAAACACTAAGTTCGCGATGTTCGCTATATCAGTGGCCATACCGACAGCTACGTATGTTTACGTCGTGCATTTATTTTTAGTCAATCCATCAATTTACTTTTGAAATGTTTCCAAGAAGGATGCCATGGGATCGTGATAGCGATGAGGACGAGTTACTCTTATTGTTATCAATATACAAAAAACGTAAAAGGAAGTGAATCCACGAAATTAACGTGAAGAGGAATGATTTTGGGGAATTTCTTCTCCTAGACCAGTTGCGACAAGATAAATGTAAATTTAAAGCATATTTTCGAATGAGGCCAGAGCAGTTTGATCAACTCTTAAACATTATTGAAAGGACAGACAAAACATACGAAAATTCTATCCCGTCCGATCTTGTTACGTTTTAAAAAATAGCCGAAAATCGAACAGCAGGCGACGTGGCTTACATGGCGAAGATCGTCAGCATAGCTTATTACTATATATATCGACGAGGTACTACCGTGCGACTTTATCATATGGGATTTTTAGCTTTCAAGAAATTCCTTTCGCAACATTCCATGAAGAATTTAAATTATTGGAAAAAATATCAATTGAGGTGCTGCGTGCGGTTTGCGCTAAATATTAGCTTACTTTACTTGCTTACTTACAGGGGCCTAGATACATCTGCGTACCAAATGACCCATTATTTTTTTAGGATTTATAATAATTTATCATCATACATTTTTACATATATGTAGTTTTAAATGTTTTCTAAGTTTGTACCAGCTGACGAGGTCTGGAACCGGTCCTGGGCGTGCTTGCTTGACAATTAAAACCCTATTCATTATTGGAAAGCTTGAAAACCTTAGTTTTACAATTCTATATGAAAAAGTGTACGATTCCATAAATGAATTATTAAAAATCCAAGCCAATAGACTGATGTTAGCTTTTCTCGTTTCTCACGTTTCTCGTTCCAGATTAAAAAATGCACTTATTGAGAAATGAACAGGATCCTGTATATTATATTATTAGATAGTTTACAGAAATTCTTTGACTTATGTTTATTTACAGAAATACATGTGTCAAATATATATTATGCTTATTGCTATTCCAACAAACATAAAAACTAAATAACTGTAATAATTAAATATGGGCCCAGAATTCCATCCCACACATTAACTGACCACCTATTTTGATATCCATCCCACACATTGATTGAACGAAAGTTGGGTCTATTCACGAGACCATTGTTAGGAAAAGTACATTCATCACTAAATAACATATCGAAAAACTTTTCATTTTCTGCCCTTTATCTAAGACCCACATGCAAAACTGAGTTAGGTTTTCATTTCCATAAAGTTCTTAGCAAAGCTGAATTTTATAAGGATAAAAGTTGTACTTTTTAATCATTCTTGGTACTTTTGGATATTAGATTTTGACTAATATTGGCATTTTCGATAACTGAACCAATTACCGTGAAAACATTTTCATCTTCAGTGACAGATTTCAATGTAATGGTTTTTTTATAATTGACACTCCCACTTTTCTCAAACTGGTGTAAAAACGACTGGCTTAGGATGATTTCTTTCATGAAAATTTTGAGCATAAACTCGAGAAGCCAATAAACAACTTTTATGCCATTTCCCAAGGGTGAAAATAATGTCAAACGCTCTTCTTTTGAATAATTCTTCATTTTCACTAATCAACACAATAATATTAATTAATAATATATTAAAAAAACGAACAACACATCTACAATTAGAAAAAAACAATACCACTCTAGCCAACAAAAAGGGACTAAACCATAGAACAAGACTTATAACAGGTGTGTGTCTAACTGTAAAACTAATAGTATGTAGTCCGTGGTGTCTAAACCACTAAATTGACAAATAAAATAAATTATTTGACATGTGTGAATGCCATAGGTGCACACCAAATGGTGCACAGAACGATTATTTGGCGTATTTTGTAAAAACGCAAAGACTTAGCTATTAACATCCTAATACCATTCGATAAGTATTAGGTTGGTGCAAAAATAATGTCGGTTTTTAACCTTTAACGTTAAACGAACCTTACTCAGCTTAGAATAGACTTTATTAATCGAAATAAAAACCATTAGCATCAACACATTTTCGCCAACGAGAAACAAGTTTATTTGTGCCTGTAGCATAAAAATTTGAGCGTCTGAAGGCGACGAAGTAATAATTAAAAATTACATTTCCTAGTGAGTTAAAAAATGTGGGATTCTATTTAAATTAATCAAGTTATCGCCACTTAAAGTTCTTATTTGATTAGTTTAAATTTGTGGACACCCTGTATAACGTGGTAAGTTTATTATCATTGGGATATAAAGTATATATGATTTCTTGTTACACTTCACTACAAATTAGGCTTACATAACTTAAATAATTCTAAAGTATTTGACACATGAAAATTAGATTAGATTTGGATAAAGTTCGGATTGTTTAAAAAACCTTAAGATTTAGGTATTATAAACATTATTAAAACAAACACTTATTTTGCTTAGGAAGTCCAAAAATTCAAAAATATATAGAGTATTTCATTTAAAAAAAACACACTTTTGAAACTTTTGGGACACCCTGTACATTAAAACAATATTTTTAAAATGTGCGCCTGGTAGGCGTCTTCCAATTCATCAAATAATACTTTTTAAATCAAACGGTTTAAAGTGGCTATATTTTTTTTCTGCTATATTTATTTACAACTATATTTATACCGTAAAAAATACAATTTCGAAAATTAAAGTGAACACCCATGTTTGATTGACTAAAAATATATAATTAAAAATGATAATGATAGTAAAAAATACACAATAATGTGTATTTAGCAAAATGTTTTTTTAATTATAATTATTATACGTTATGCAATAAATAGATATTTGAAATACGGACGTTTTGACGGACTTTTCACTATCTTTATCTTACTTTGATTGTTTACAAGTAGAGATATTGAGGTTAGATCAGTTAGACGTTTTGTGATCAAGAAAAAAACAAAATAAACTAATTTAATTTCAAAGTGATATTATTAAATTTCAACAATGGATTTCGATAGTCCTGAAGTGATGAAAGATTTCCCAGGGCTCTACATGAGTGAACGACGGAAAGGGAATGATAGTGATTGTAAGTGTTACAGGTAGATAAGATTAGAACTTGAATGTACATTGTGTTATAATTAATCCTTAGATAACGATGAGAGTGAAAAAGCCAGCAAAAAAGACATGATCATAGGTAAACGAAAAGAAAAAAAAGACAAAAAGGATAAAGATAAAGGATATGCAGCACTGGAAGGAGAAAGCTCTGATGAGTCAAGGTACCCCTTACTTTGTCACTGTTGAATTAAGCTAGTGGAGATCTGATAAAAGCATCATTTACAGCAGATGATAACATCTCATTTTTACATAAAAGCTTCAAGTGAATGATCTTTTCATTCCGTAGATAAACAGCTGATTTTGTTCGGAGAATAAATAATCTTCTAGCTATTATTATGTATTACGGTTTTTCAGCCCCTGTAAGGCTAAGAAATCTAAGGCTTTTAAATTTACAAAGTCAAAAGATAAAGATAAAGACAAGGAGTGCCCTAAGGACAAAGGCGAATGTAGCTCAAAAGTTAGGCAAAAAAAGAAAGTTAAACTGGGATTTGGTCATATGTTCAATTCAGATGGAGAAAATCAGGACATAGCTGGTAACTGATCAACATAATTTACAACAACAAATTGCACATTAAAATTTTCTGACATTTTAGAAGCATTGCCTATTTTTGGAGCCGACTTAAAAGATGCATGCCAAAGAGGAAAGTGTCATGATGGTGTAAATATTCCCCTGCCGGTTCGGGAATGTATTGATTTCATAGAGATTTTTGGTCTTAATTTCGAAAATGTTTATAAAGTGAGCGGCAACAAAAATAAAGTAAACCAAATCAAAAAAATGTATAACAATCGTCAAACTGTAAAACTCTCCGATTATGATGTGCCTACAGTTACAAGTGTTTTAAAAACATTTCTCAGGTACTTGTTGAATTTATATAAAACTGCGTTCACTCAATCTATTTGATTATATTTATTCTAGAGATTTGCCTGAGCCGATATTTACCAACGAATTATTAGTTCGATTTGAAGAAGCGGCTGCAATTTTTAATTACAATACTAGGGAAAAATATTTGAAAGGTTTACTAAATGGTCTTTCTAGTGAAAACAAGGAATTAATTATGTGGCTTATAATGCATTTCTATAATATTGTTCAGAGGGTAAGTGCGCTGGTTTTTGTTATTTAATAACTTTATTACATTTTATCATCATACTTTATTCCAATTTTGATCTCGCGGCTAATTATAAGAATTAGAAATCTAAATGCTTCTATAATATACAATTCCTAGGAGTTCATGTCTAAAAAGCAGTGTGCGCTTGATAAAACCCATCATCGGTCTGTATGCGTTCTGGATAGGGACCTTTTATACCCTTAAACTGTTCCTACATTCTTTATCTACACTTCTATAAAACTTCCATTAGTTACCAATTTTAATTTTATTCGACTTGAATAAATATTTGCCTGATTAATTTCCTTTTATAGGATCAAGTAAATAGGATGAATAAACAGAATTTGGCTCAAGCTTTAAATCACACACTGCATATTTCCTCTAAGCTGTTACAAGCCCTGATAACCCATCGTATGGATTTTTATCCTACAATGCATATAAAAAAATATTACCCGCCGCTGGATGCGGGAAGTACTTATCCCGAAGACCCGAATATTATTCGACGAGAACTGGAAAAATTAGAATCTGCTTTGAACTTGATTCATTGGGAAATGCAGCAGGGGTTTTCCTCAAAATGGAGACAAGATCAATTGTGGGAAGTACAGCGAGTGCAAACTGATTTAAAAGTATTAAGGATGGTCAAGTGGAATCTTTTCAACTCTAATTACGATAATATTTTTTTAGAGAAAATTGAAAAAAGAACTGAGCCATTCTAGTCAAACAGTCGTTCCAGATGAAACTGAAGAACAGCCAGTGAGTTTACCAGAAGCTGAAGAAGTAAAAGGGGAATGTTACAAGAGTGAGGCCGGAGCTGCGCAAGTTGATGTGGATACAAATGGGGAAAGTGAGGATGAAGCGCCAGATGAAAACATACACGCTCTGTCTCAACCTCAAAATATACAGAGTGATATGGATACTGATGGCGACGAGGTAAGCAAATATTAACACGGGCTGTTGAAATGAAGCCCTATTCAACACGAACTTGTCCTACAGGAAAAAACTGAAGCTGATTCGCAACCAAGTGAGAAAGTGTTATTATTGAAAAGTTCTGCTGATAATATTAGCAATAATGAGTCAAAAATTAAGAATACGACTGAATCGAGCAGTATTGCAATCACGTTTTCTAATGATCTTGACAAGAAACAACTGGAAGATATTGATTACGGTCCGGGACGCAAACCAATAGAATTAAGCACTCATCATTCTGTTCAGGATAATAGCAAATTGACAATTCTGCATTACAAAAATGCACTGCTAATGGACTTGGTAGATAATTTATCAAAAAGTATTCAAATAGAATATGACCAAATACAGGAATATAAGAAGAAACTTGATGCTCTACCACCATCTAAAGGAGTCAAATTTATACGGTTACCTCACAGTTTCCGTCACGTGCGGGAACTGTTGGCTTGTGAAAATCGTATCCTTGAAATTAAGAAAGTTGAATTGGTAAGGGAAATTATGGACTTGACAGAGGAGTGCATGGACATGAGCACAACATTAATGGCAGCTGCTGATATAAATGAATCCTGCATGCATATGTTAAAGCCAAATTTCTGAAGTAATATTGGTTAGAAGTCCAGAATAAGTTCTGGAACTTCCGGTATGAATAAAAGTTGATAATGGGAAAAAATCCTCACTAAGTGACTATTCCAAAAGTAGTAGCTACTCTCGCGCGAACTTTTCATGCAAGACTGTTATGTAGAGTGCGTCACTATGTGACAAACCATTCATACGCTTTATCGGGATCGTTTTATCGGGATTCTAAAACTTGGCTTCTGTTTCAATAATTTTTTGTAGCCCATATTTTAAAATGTATTTCTAATTTAACTATTTCTACTTTCATGTTGATGTTTCAATCGGATATTAAGTAACCCTGGTTTTCCAACTAGGAATTTATTATCGTGTTTGACAATTTAAATCGATAATTATTTTATAAATAATCTCAGATTAACATGTAAATACAAATTACTATTACGTGTTTAGTGGCGTCCCCAACTATTTGAATTACTAAAACGTTTTTATAATAAGATTAATGTTAAATCAAATTATCGAAGTATTTATTATCCACTACTTTCAGCCATATTTGTAAATTGAAATAATGTGTATATTTTTCAGTTGCTTATTATACAATATTGTCATTGTTATAGTACCTTTTATTGTAATTATTGAAAACCGGCCTGTTGGGAAATGAGAGAAAATAAGATACAGGCACCCACTGAAGTGTAAGCCTCAGTGGCACTTTATCATTAAGTTCATGTGCGCAAATTACGGCTAGGCGCAAAAAGCGTAAAGTAAGACAATTTTTTTCTCTTAGAAGAAACTATCAAAAGTCTAGGTTGCTCGGAACCCAAATTAGCAACTGGGAATGGTACTAAAAGCAAAAATTGCGATCACAAATAAACATTGTGGATTCATCGCCGGATCTAGGGGCGGACTACGAGGGCTATAGCTCCTGTAGTCTTAGTATTTTATCCAAAGTAAATACAGGTCCGCAAACTTACAATTTGTTCTGTTTGTTGATTGAAAAGGGCTAAAAATATTGCAGCCAACGGTAATAAATTTTTGAGTACATTTTGCGAACTCGAATCTTCTTGTTTCTAAATTTTGAAAGTCGTTTTTATCTATGGCTCGGAGTAGAGCGTTGCCTTCTATCAGCTAAAGGTCGTTTTTAGTAACCGGATTTCTCTCTTTCACGAAATGGATTTTATCAGAAATTGAAAAGTGGAAGTAAAATATAAAAAATAGGAAGCCGTTCGAGTATTAAACAGCGTATATCTCAGAAACAGTTGGAAGTGTCACATAAAGGCATTATGAACTTTTCGTGTTTTTTACTAAGGCTTCATTGCAAATTCGAAACCTTCAAATAAGCAGACGCTAAAATAGCAAAGTGTAAATGCTGCAAACAGTTCTAAGAACCATTATGATAGGGCGTTTGGAGAGCGTTTTTTTTCGATTGGGGTTGGAACAAATTTTCTAAACTCAAGAGATAAATTGATAAATTATGGTGCAGTTTCATGCACATTTGCATTGGATTTGACTTATTTATTAAATTCCTAAGATCTAAAGCGGCAGAAGAAAAATGGCCAACTTTAAAAGTAACGGTCAAAGTTTACTAAAGCAAAAAAATATGGTTTTTTTTAGGTGTTAAAATAAAGTTCAGAAAAACTTAAAAATTAACTTTAAGTGTTCCGTTAAAATTTCTGGGTTTACGAAGTGTTCCATTACCGAAACGGACGAAAGAAATAAGCAGTTTTAAGCCAACAGCTGAGCATGATGTTCATTTCAAGAGTTCAGACCTATTCTTAAAAATTACTCATTAAATATTATGTTCATTTTTATAACATGTTAAATTTTCATAATAAAAGTGAAGACCTCAGCTAATTTCAGACGCCTCCACCGACACACGTTATTGTATAACCGATTGCATACTACTCATGTATAAAGTGTGTGAGGCCGCTCCGTAGACGCAAGTTCATAAATTTGCTTCGTTGATGGACATTTGGCCACATACTACTACACTATAAATTATTGATTTTTGTTCGTGCAGTCTGAATGCGCACATGATGTCTTCCTTCGCATCCTCGTGAAAACGTTATGAATTTCAATGAGTGATAAATGGTCGAAAACCGCATTTTTGCTCAAAACACCACTAAAATTTGACAGTAAAAATATTATCTCCCAGCAAAGCACATTTTTAAGGGTGCAAACTAAGGCCTGTTGTCCCTGACAATAACCCTGATTTAAAACTTTGTAAAAAAATGTTTGTCACCTTCATGCTTCTCCTCATAACTTCATGCTTTCATTCATAAACAAGGGTACGTTTTAACGGTAGATCTACCGTTTTTAACTGGCGGCTAAACGTAGGAATACGATCCCTTTATGCGCAGAGACTGTCTCTGATCAACTGTTTATTTTTAGATTTGCTGTGTTGTTGATTGTTGATAGAGGTTAGCATTTTCCTTAATTCGTGTGTAAAGGCTACATGGTGTTCGAAATTCTTTTATACGTTACTTCAGAAAAATGAATATGGGTTGTTTATGCCGCAATTAAGTCAGGCACAGCTTGGAGGATAAAGTGGTTATTGAATATGCATATGATATACCTATGATTGTTTAAATGCACTTCAAAAAATTAAGATTTTAGACACCATTTAATACAGAAACTTGTACTACAGTCAATGGTTGTACTAAAGATTCTATGAAATCTACTCTTTTTGATCAGACGAAATCCAGGCACAAGCCATCAGTATAATAACATTTATCAATAATATGAAAGTACTAGGAACTCGCATGTTTAATAGGAACTTTGGAATTTGATGTTGCCTTTGCACGCCTTATGCTTATGCTGCTGCGAAAGGCTGAATTGCAGAAGAAACAGGCAGCAATTTTGGAAGGTCGATAGGTCTAATATCTATACATAATAATAAATACCGAAAATTTTAAATACGAAACATGAACATGAACGGCACAGATTAAGAATGAGATAGATAGCGCCCACTCCACTGTTAATCACCCAGCTGATCAGTAGCTAAAATCTGCAGTTAACGCATGCGCATTAATGGGATCGTATTCCTACGTTTAGCCGCCAGTCGTTTTTAGGGTGGGTGGTACCGCACTACCGTTAAGTCATAAAGCCCGTGTCTCATGCACCCGTTTGTACGATGACACGATGGTACGAAAGTGTTTCTATTGGTTGGAGATCTGTTAATTCGTACGACGACGGACGAATACCCATAATAATAAACCACTCAAAAAATTTTAAAAACATAAATTTAGCGACATTAAATTTTTATAAATATCTACCGTTTTATTTTTAAATCTACCGTTTTTTTCCTATACATTCCACCGCTTTCGAAGTTCTTGGTCTGGCAACGCTGGTGATCTGTGATATTTCATGGTCTAAGCTCACGAGCGGAAAATGTCGGAAGTAGTGCCTTTTGACAGTTGTTGAATTTCCGCCATAAGTCCCACCTATCAGAAGGTTGTCATAAAGTAGAAAGCGTTTTTAGTTAGGTTCCTGATTATTGCTCGAACAAATTGTTCGACTGACCCTTCGAAATTCGTATGTTGTGTTAAAGGAAACGCATTTTCCACTAGAAATGAAAATGGATTGGGTCCCACAAGAAGATGGATTGCGAGAAATTCTCACACTTTTACGGGAATCGCAATCTCCGGACACCGATACTCAAAGGGCTGTACAACAAGTATCCTTTTTTATTCATAAAATTTATTGGAACGTGTGAGTATTAACTGTTACTAGTTATGTAATTTTGGGATATTTTTAATTAGGAACTGAGCTCTGATTGTGCTTATTGTTTACAAATGTTTTGCTGTCTCATGTCTGATCTTATTTCCTTTTAAAGAAACAGTTTTCAAACGTAAATAATTAATAGGCAAAATTACAAATGTAAATATTAAATCGATTTAGAATATTAGTAAAAATCGCTTTTATCAATAATTGTTGTTATATTTGAAATACAGTCCAATTAAATGGCAAAAATGGACATGCTGTTTAAAAATGCAACAGTAATGTGGAAGTTTTTCAGCTCTGCCTTCTAAAGACAACTACAAATTGCTTCTGCAAGTTTCATTAAACTGCGACTAAAAACTGAATATTGATATCAATGAAGTAACTATTGGGTAATTCCTCTATTTTTTTCCATTACAGAAAATTATTGTCTTCGTATTAGAAAAGTATAGAACCGTCTTCCGTTTACTTCCCAGTAGTAATTCATTAATTATTACTGTGTATGATCTAACCTTGGGAGATCCTTTATACCTTGGACATCTAATGTAAAATATTTTTTCAAACGTGGTTTTTTTTTTCACACTTGAATGTTATTAAAACCAATAGTTAAACTATTCAGTTGCCAGGTTTTAAAAAAGGTCACTTTAAAAATCTCTTAAATTATTGCAATAGAGTCGGCATAGTTACCTGTTTTTCCTATCAAATTGTTTAACGGGTCGTGTGTATTTAGTACTCACATAAATTTTTGTAAATTATTAATTTGTATTATCAGTCGTTACTGCCGGTAACAGTATTAGTTTGAAAGAAAAAACGATAATCTCTCGGTTTCACCAGTTTTCAGTAAAAAAAGCTATCCAAGGAGGCGGAAAGTGCGTACACACTTTCACTAATAAAGAAATGTTGTTCGTTTTAAACGTCGTAAGTCTAATTTTCATGTAAAACGATTGTTCGAATTGGCTATCATCAAAAGGGCTGCTAAGACGAGGACCAACGGTCCAACTAGGTACTATCAACTTGTAATTACTTAATTAGTAGTCTAAAAGCCCTAAATTTAACTCGCAATTGATTATCCCAGCGCTCCTCAAAGTGTGCTCCGCGGAGCCCCGGCGCTCCGCAAAGGCTACGTTAGGGCTCCGCCCACAAAATTAATACCTGTATTAAAGAGTAATCTATAAGAGTAAAGTTACCTAAGATAAAAATAAACTACCAAAAAAAAACTCTTACTTTAGATTTTACGGGTACATAATAATACAGGGTGATTCACGTAGCCCGTTCGTTAGAAAAAATTTTATTTTCCGAAATCTGATTGGCAGTTGGCAACCATAATCGGTTGCTGCAAGTCTAAATATAAGATTTTCAAAATGATTCATATTTGGATTCAGCTTGACATTATAATTTAATTGTGTGTTAAGAATGTCCATTTGTCAACACTTATCTGTCACCGCTTTTGACTCATGCCATTTTTTGCAAAAGAACAGGGTAGCAGAGGTTCACTAAGAAATTAATATTTCCCGAACCATTGCAAATAAATAAATCGGCATTATTTAATTCAATTCCCAAAGGTTTGGCAAACATTCAGCATCGATTCTGACACTTTCGTTGTTTCATGCTTCTGCTGCGATTTTCCAAAGTTGACAATAAAAAAATGACATAAACTTCACTTTTTTTAAATGGCAACTACAATTTCTGACTCTGAAGTGGACTTAAAATTTAATTTTAAGTCCACTTTTATTAACATTGTACGTTCCTCTAAAGTCGTTTTTGAGTTTATATGTATATATGTCGGCCAAACCTTTGAACATTTAATAAAGCAATAGGTTCTGATTTTTCAAATAAAGCTCTGCATCTCAGTTTTTTTGCAATAAATGTGACATATGTCAAAAACTATGACAGATAAGTGTTAACAAAATTTAGACTTTCCATTTAAAAAATCCAAGATATCGTCGATTTTCGATGTTTCCGGAAACGTCGCCATCTAAAAAAAAACGATATTTAGACTTGCAGCAGCCGATTATGGCTGCCTACCAATTTTCGTTTAATTCCCCAAAAAAAATGTTTTCTATGCTTAATGATAAACAATACACATATAACTCGTTTTGCTTTAAGTTTGGTTAGGGTTTAGAGCTCCATTAAAAGTTCAGTTTTTTTAAAGTTCCGTCGGCAAAAAAGTTTGAGAACCGCTGGTTTAGACCGTCAGAGGCCTCAAAATATCGATGCAGTTGGACGGAACCTAAGCACGGAAAGTTTCGGCTTTTTAATTATTGAAAGTGTTCTTCTTTATCAATCTTTTCTACGATTCGTCAACTTCAGTACGATTTTAACTTGTGATTATTACAGCCTTAAGTCACAAAAAGTAACTAATAGATAACCTGAACGATAGAGAGATCAGTAGTATTCGGTTAGGTATTTTTAAATTACATTTTCACTCTTTGAAATATATAACGCACCTTTTCTCAAAACACAATAAAATACAAATAATTTTTTATTTATTATCAGGCCTATGTTTTGAATACATCGATTTTGATAAATTTTATCACTCAGCCGTGTAAAGCGGTCTTTGGAAATTTTGTATTTATTTATCATTGTTATTCGATTCGCTTAGTCATGCAAAAGGCAGATTTTTGATATTTATATTTATGTTGCTTATGAGATGGTCAATTAAAGATATTTTGTAATTATTTTGCCCACATCTCCAAATTTTCAACTCCATTTCAAACAATTCAAATTAAATTAAATTATGTAAAAAAAGGCACAGATACACCACTTTGAATTATTTTAATTCCAAACAGATATGAGCGATCTCGTATCATCCGTCTATCAATTCGTCATCCACCAGACTAACCCCGCATAAAAAGGGTTCTTACTCCTACTCCGTATTTCCACATTTATCGCTATAACCTGACACATAAACAATCAGTGCCCTTATTTATGGGTTTCTCTGGAGAGCTTATGGTCGCCCGAGTGTTTTGCTTATAGTTAGTTTAGTTAGTTGTTTCATTATTTTCAGTCATTTTCAGATTTAATTTTTCCCGAAAAAACCGACAAACATTCTTCATATCTTTGTAGACTAGAGATAGTTAAAAGATTATTGCCGTTAAATACCGTCAAGACAAGAAATTAAAAATTGATATTTAGTAGGTACTCATGCGTAAATTGACAAACTCTTTAAGAATAGTAATTCAAAATTTAGGATTGCCATTAAAAGAAATTGTCGATGACGTCATATCTCAAATTTGAAAAACGCTGCTTTCCAACAATAGAATATTTGTCTTGATTTACTTGCATTGGATTTATTGCAAGTCAGAGACTCGCATTGTGTGTGGTTAAAAGAACAGTTTGGCTATATTAATTCACTGTTTTATTACGTATGATCCTTAATAGAATTTCCTAGAAATTGGAAGAATTGAACAAGTATCCTGACTTCAACAATTACTTAATGTTTGTGCTTACTAAGCTAACTAGTGAAGATGAACCAACTAGGTCTCTCAGTGGTTTAATATTGAAGAATAATGTGAAAACACACTTCAACTCCCTGCAGCCAACCGTTACAGAATATATAAAAACTGAATGTTTACAAGCAGTAGGAGATCCAAGTCCACTGATTCGTGCTACTGTTGGTATATTAATAACGACAGTAGCCAGTAAAACTGACTTGTCATTATGGCCGGAACTATTGCCTGCTCTTTGCAGTATGCTTGATTCAACTGACTATAATGTATGCGAAGGTGCTTTTGGTGCACTACAAAAAATATGTGAAGATTCTGCAGATGTTTTGGATTCAGATACAGTTAATCGGCCTTTAGATATTCTGATTCCAAAGTTTTTACAGTTTTTCAATCATTCTAGTTCAAAAATAAGATCATATGCTATTGGTTGTGTGAATCAATTTATTATTCAAAGATCACAAGTGCTCATGTTCCATATTGACACGTTCTTGCAAGTAAGTAGATATGTGTTTGCTGGAAACACAAGAATGTTATTTATAATGCGTAAAGAATATATGTTATTTTATGTATATATTTTTTTTTAGAATTTGTTTCATGTGGCTACAGACGAAGATTCAGAAGTGCGTAAGAATGTGTGTAAAGCGTTGGTTATGCTCTTGGAAGTTCGAATGGATCGACTCATAAGTCAAATTGATAATATTATAGAATATATGCTTATGAGAACACAGGATCCAGATGAGAGTGTCGCTCTTGAGGCATGCGAGTTTTGGTTGAGCTTGGCTGATCAGTCCATTTGCAAATCAGCATTAAGTGCTCATTTGACTAGAGTTATTCCTGTACTTGTGAGAGGAATGAAATATTCAGAGATTGATATTATATTGCTAAAGGTACAATTGTTTAATTCTTAGGTTCTTCGATTTTACAACATTAACTTTAATACAGGGAGATGTAGAAGAAGACCACAACATTCCAGATAAAGAAGAAGATATCAAACCTAGATTTCACAAGTCAAAAACTCACACCATAAAGGCAATGCAAAATGGTACCGAAAACGGAATTGATAAAGGTAAGTTAAAGATCACATCTAAATTTAGTGAGATAGCTGTTTAATTAAAATTACAGATGATGAAGATGATTTTGAAGATGGAGATGATGACAGTTCTGTATCCGATTGGAATTTGAGGAAATGTAGTGCTGCTGCCCTTGACGTACTAGCTAATGTGTTTCAAGATGATATCTTGCCAATTATAATTCCGATTCTGAAGGAAACCTTATTTCACTCAGAATGGGAAATTAAGGAATCTGGAATTTTAGCTTTGGGTAAATTGAATATTGCGGGATATAGAATGCATTTTTATTAAATATATAAATTGTTACCGTTTCAGGAGCAATCGCAGAAGGTTGCATGACTGGTATGGTTAGTCATTTACCAGAGCTAATTCCATATTTGATTAATTGTTTAAACGATAAGAAAGGATTGGTACGAGCGATCACTTGTTGGACTCTCAGCAGATATTCTCACTGGGTAGTAGCACAATCGCATGATTCTTATTTGAAACCTTTGATGACGGAGCTTTTAAAGCGAATTTTGGATAGTAACAAAAGAGTGCAAGAAGCTGCTTGTTCCGCATTCGCAACGTTGGAGGAAGAAGCATGCACGGAATTGGTTCCTTATCTGGGATACATACTCGAAACACTAGTGTTTGCATTTTCTAAGTACCAGCATAAAAATTTACTGATCCTGTATGATGCAATCGGTACATTAGCCGATTCAGTTGGCAGTCACTTAAACAAGCCCGAATATATCAGTTTACTTATGCCTCCTTTAATTCAGAAATGGAATGTTTTAAAAGATGAAGATAAAGATTTGTTTCCTTTGTTGGAGGTAAGTTGTTTTTATCTTTCTTACTTGAATTTGGTGAATCTAAAGATAATTAAAATTTTACATATGGCAAGTCAAATGATAACATTTTAGGCTTTTGTCGTCGACGCTTAGCGACCATTATTATATTTAAAACAATTTCAGCAATTCTATACAATTTCATTTAAATGGTTTACACAGTAAATATGTTTTGGAAATATTTAGCTAAAGCGCCATATTCAACACCCCTTTTCGCGATAATGAAAAGCTTCTCGGTCTACATTTAAATAATATAAAACTCGTTATTTTCTGATACATACATACGTATGTAGTTTTCACGTGTATACTGATAATGACACTAAATTAAGAAACACTCTAACCTTTAGCAGTAGTTAAATTGTTAATATCTAAAATCGAATGTATCAAACGTAGTTATGCCGCAGCCGAGCTGCAGCAAAAATGATTAATGTTCGAATTTATACTTGAAGAAAAACTGAATTCAATATTATGAAATGTGACAAAAGCTGGCACTACCGCAAGTCAAGGCCCGACTGCTCTGACGTCACGAGGACTATTTCGCTGTGAGAGTGAGTGAGAGCCGGCGAACTCTAGTTCTGTGGTATCTTACCGGCTCGGCCTACTCGTGACGTCAAAGCAGTTGGGCCTTGACTTGCGGTGGTGCCGCAAAGACCAAATATATTGACTCAGCACAATTTTACGAATTACGATTATATCGAAAATATTTGAGGCTTTACATATACACAATTTCAATTTTGTATTTTGCTCGATGTTTGTTATAGAATTACTTTTAGGGTAAATATTTTGTGCGAATTTGGAATATTACCTAAGATATTTTCTATTCACATTTTCAGTGTTTATCGAGTGTGGCCACAGCACTACAGCTAGGATTCTTGCCTTATTGTGAACCTGTATATTGTAGATGTGTTTCGCTGGTTCAGCATACGCTTCTGGTTCAAATGGTGAGTCTATGTCAAGAATATGCTTTATTAATAAACTAGCTAAAACTTTTTAAGAGACCAAACTGTTTAAGAATATTTTGTTGATTTCAATTTGTGACCTAACATAGGAAATAAGAAGGTTATGATATTTTAGGCTCATATGCAAAATCCTGAACAGTGCGAGGACATAGATAAGGACTTTATGATAGTATCGTTAGATTTACTATCAGGACTAGCAGAAGGCCTGAACGGTCATATCGAAAAGCTAGTTGAGAATAGCAATATTATGAATCTTTTGCATATGTCGATGCAAGATGCTATGCCAGAAGTGAGACAATCGTCTTTTGCCTTAATAGGGGATTTGACAAAGGCCTGCTTTCAACATGTTAGGCCGCACATATCAAGTTTTATGCCTATTTTGGGACAAAATCTTAATCCTGAATTTATATCTGTATGCAATAATGCTACATGGGCGATAGGAGAAATTTGTATAAAGTTAGGTATGTATTTAAAAAGAGAAAATGAAAGTTAATTTTTTTTTAAATATTTTTTTTAGGTGTTGAAACTAGACCTTTTATACCATTGATTTTAAATCAATTAATAGAAATAATAAATAGGCCAGATACGCCCAAAACTCTTCTTGAAAATACAGGTACGTATTGCTTTGAAATATAGAGCATGATACGTTAATATTAAACATTTTAGCATGTGTGTATATGCTGTTCTTTCAATTTAATGAACAGCCAAGGTTATTGTGCAGTTTTGAGTGAGACAGAACTCCATATAATCACACATTAAAACAATGTGTTGACTACATTTTTCTAAATAGTAATCGTTCTATAATTTTTGAAATTTTGCATTTTAATTTATCATATTTTATTGGTTTTAAGACTAGATTTGGCTAATGTTGAACATGGTTAACAAAATTACTACTGTATTAAGTGTGCGTTACATAATTAATATTTTGGTTACATTCCTTGCTTCCAAGCTGGATGCATTTTCACTCAACCAAGGAAAACGGCAAATGTTATTTGTGTAGATAACTGTTCAAATAGAGATTATGTTATTCCGAATCATTTAAGGCTGTCATCCTCGACATTAATTTTATAAATAAGCTTTTTCCGACTGCTTTTTGAACCCACTTAATAACCGTTTTTGCTATGAAGTATATATCGTTAAATACTCTCAAATGAAGTCTTTTAAATTATTGCTAGAATGTATTTCTAACAATTCAACCATTATCCTGTTCAAATAGAGATTATGTTATTCCGAATCATTTAAGGCTGTCATCCTCGACATTAATTTTATAAATAAGCTCTTTTCGATTGCTTTTTTAACCTACTTAATAACCGTTTTTGCTTTGAAGTATATATCGTTAAATACTCTCAAATGAAGTCTATTAAATCATTGCTGGAATGTATTTCTAACAATTCAGCCATTATCAGTTCTTCTAATACGATCTATAATATTTGTTCATATACGCCGCTTACCGGCTGCTCTCTTCACCTACTTGCAATCCTGCGCTTGTGTTGTAATTTTAAACGCACTTATTTTTATCAATATTTTAAAATTATTTCTATGCTCATTACTGCACTTGACTGTCATTTTATATAAAAAACTAAAACTTAAAAACAGTGTTGATAAAATTAAAGAACTTTGTGCTGGCAGTGTATCCTCTTTAAGTTTTTTGAGAAAACCACCTAGATGTTTTTCTTATTTTGCAGCCACGTTTTGTGTTTTATTAGTTGTATGTTGTGACAGTTTAACTAAGCTATTTCTAGTTTAAATGTTATAGACTTTTGTGTTCCAAAAATATCAGTACATAATTAGTTAAATACATTTCTGACCGCTACAAATAGAAGAAATGGCAGGGGCTAAAAATTGGATCCACTGCACCACATACCCTGAAATATCCTAAATTATGCGTAGTAATTCTTTCGGGAGTAATAAGTAATAATGGTGATTTGTTTATGAATTTGAAAGCAAAGTTTTGTTATCAATTCAATTATACATACTTTTCATTTATTCTTCTACTTATAAGCATTTTTTATTACTTTGAATTGCTGTGCGGCTATTTTTCAATTCAATTTGGTTCATTATTTAAAGTTCTTTTTTTATCAAGCACTGATTTTTTTTAGACTTGTACCAAACATTGCTTTTAACATGTTTAGAACAAGTTGATTTACTATTTACAACTTTTTCATTTCTGCATTTTCAATTTTTCACGATAACCAATATATTTTGTCATATTCACTCAAGATCAACCAAGTAAACATATTAATCACTGCGATATTGAAAAGCTAATGTTACACTTGAAAATATGCTGGTTATTTGCAAATATATAATTTCCATTAATATATTTTTATGCAATTTAATTATTTATTGAATGACTTATTTGTAATTGAGTTGTTTTTGTTTTGTTTCTGTTCTCGGTATAGCCATAACAATTGGTCGCCTCGGTTTTGTCTGCCCCCATGATGTGGCTCCAATGTTACAACAGTTTGTCCGCCAGTGGTCTGTAACCCTTTTTTTATTATTTCTTTAAATTTTATTTTCTTTTGATTTTAATCTATATCTGATGTAAATTAATTAATAAGCTAACCATTTACTAACCGCATTCCGAAATGCTATTTCAGTTCCTAACAGCTAGATTTGCCCCAGTTTTATGTTCATTGTTTTTGACAGTCTTTCGGGAAATTAATTTACGAGGTTCCAATGACTCGTAACAGGCTATGGCATTACTAATGTCAGTACATTTCTTAGGGAAACTTATTGGTGGCTTAATGATAATAAATTCACCCTATTTTAACGCATCGTTTACCGAGTTCATAGGGTATAAAGTCAGTAAAGTCATTCAGGTCAAATGTATCATCAAGTTATTGTAAAAACTTGTTTATACAGGGTGTAGTAAAACTCAAGTAGCGGAAAAATGTAGAATATTTTGGTACAATACAATATAATACAAAAGCTTCTTAAATATTTTCTGCAACTGCAAATTATTTGGTGAATGTTCAGATTTATGTGAATTTGTGTTATGTAGTCTAGATAGATGTCATATATTTTTTATCTAACGCATCTATTTTATAAATTTTACATAAGGAATTCTTCACAAGAATGGGCTATCAATGCGTGGTACCGAAATAAATAAGTACAAATAAAAAGCTACTGATTGGTTGTGTTATGGAAATAGACTAATACTTATTATTAATTTTTCATATCAATGTGGTAATTCTTAAGCCATGGCCCATCTACATTTTGTTGGAACATTGTATAATACTGTGTTACGTTATTTAATTAACATTTGTTTCTAGACGACTGTCTTTTACTACTTGGTAAGTATTATTAACGCATGCGTGTGTTTTCTGTTCACATTGAGAAGGATCAATCACTGCTCATTTGCTAACTATGTACATGAAATTGGGGAAATCAGTCCTGAACTTTAGTCACGATTTCTAAATAACTTTGCAAGATTGAATGTTTTGAACATTCATGCCATATTAGAGTTAGTAAAATAGCACTTCCTTAATATTGGTGCTTTCAGGTGTGTATCGTTGAGGAACATAAGAGACAATGAGGAGAAAGATAGTGCTTTTAGAGGCATGTGCCAAATGATTCAAGTGAATCCCGCAGGAGTCATTTCAGACTTCATATTCTTTTGTGATGCTGTGGCGTCTTGGGTGCACCCCCAAGAAGATCTGAAAGATGTCTTCATTAAGGTATCACATATTCAAGCAAAAAATATTTGTTGGAGGTTTATTTACATTTTTACTCAGATATTACACACATTTAAAACGCAAGTTGGAGAAGAGAATTGGAGAAGATTTAGTGATCAATTCCCTCAGCAGTTGAAGGAAAGATTAACAAACCTTTACGGTCTGTGATGCTGGCGAGGTAAAGTATTCTGAGATAATATCATCAATTGCGAATATATTATTATTTTTATTATTATTATAGGGTTTTAATGGGGGAAATTCTGTGGACTGGGGTGGGACAACCTAGAAAAAATATTTGCGTGAAGCACGCTAACGAGCGTATTAAAAAACCAAATCAAGAGAGGGTGGACTCAATTTACAAAAGTAAACATAGATCAGCAAAAAAATTTTTCTTTGATATGTCGTCAAATCGATAGACATCGCATTGTTGGTTTTCGTTTATATTTCCTATACATCTAGATCAATGTGACGAGCTGATTATTTAGTCAGGAGGCATTAGTTGATTAATTTCTGGGTTTGTTTAAAAAATTATCTCATATAAACGGGTAACACGGTTCAGTTTTTATGCGCAAAATAGTTTGCTGCATTCATAGAATATGTATCTGCCATCTGCAGAGGTTTTTTTTTCTACCTAAAATATATATTCCACGTACTATTTATTTAAAAAATTATTGAGTTTCGACGTTAAACATTTTCAAATTTAACTGGAAAAACCTATATTATTAATCTTAAAATGCCCTAATTCTTAGACTAAATTGCCATTTTAATGATTCAATGTTACATTTATTTTTAATGCGTCTTTCGATCTGAAAGAGTTATATTTTCACACATAAGTAAAGAATTAAAATTCAGTTTTCTAAGTAGTTTTTCAACTTGTACTGAAACAATTATAGAATTTTCAGATGTTTAGATGCTTTATAACATACGTTTGGGTCTATTATAATTAGGAGTAGTTATGCATGCTGTGGTTTGGTATCTAGTAAATTATGATTTTTGTATGTAAAGAACTTTTTTACTCGAAATGATCTATACGATTTTTATTCGCAGCAGGTCTTGGTTGCAAACGGAAAGGATTACGGTTTAATAAAAAGAGATAGTTAACTAACTAAATAGCTAACCAGCTAAATGGTTAACTAATTAAAAGCTAACTTATTCTTTCAAGTCTTTGATTTTTTCCTTATCAATTGGTTGGCCACATGTTGATATTTAAAAATATAATTACCTTTTACATATAAAAATTATATTTTTTACATTAACGTTTTTGTCATTTATCAATGTGACACGCAAGTAATAGAAAATTACTCACGTTAGACAATCCTTTTCTATTTCAAACTAACTGCTATAAATTCATAGGAGTAAAATAGTTCTTAAAATAACTTGAGTTGTATAAGAAAATATTTTCAGAAGGCTTTCATATATTTGTTCAACTTTCTAGATGCAGTATTATAATCTTGAAAAATGACAAACATTAATGCAATTTTACAATACAATAAATTGTAAGTTAATTCGATTGTACCGATAATAATACTTTTTCAACTAAGGAATATTTAGACAACTGTTTCTTACTGGAAAAATTAACATAAATCTGATTTGTTTGTTACATATTTTCTAAATATTATATTAATATTTTTACAGTTTATGCTGAATGAACACAACGTTTTGATATTCATACATATGTCCATTTGGTCTATTATTATTTGTTCATTAATTAAGACGTTATGAACGTAAATGTGGGTGTATCATTTAAATTATTTGCCAGTTGAATTGCATTCGACTAATAAATTTATGATTGATGTTTATACACAATATAAACGCTCTTTATGTTTTTTTAAAGCAATACATTTATCTACCTGTAGACCATTTTCAACGGATCTATAAAGTAATAATCCAAGTACGCATATCCAATTCAGTTACATTTATGATTACTCGAATAGAATCGTGTATAAAGAAACCGTTAATCAGTCTCTTTAGTGTGGATAATGCTGGTGACTGGTAAATAAATAGAACTGGTGCCAGCCGGACTGGCACCAACCAGTTCGTGCGTTTATACGCGAAAGCAAATTAGTGTTAGCATTTTTCCGACAATATATTTATTCATTTGCTTTAACTTTTCAAATGGACTGATTTATGTTGCCAGAGTACAACTCCAACAAAATGTTTTTTCTCAATCAGTATTTTAAAATGATGAAGCCTTTTGTAAATATCAGTGTTTAAGTTTGTATATAGTAGGAAAAAAATTTGCAATCCTTATCCTTTTGAGGACTTCTGGATCCTAGTACCTGGTCCTGTTCCTATTCATCCAGTTCATTGTAATGGTCCTGATTCGAGTGATTGAGATTTTGTGGTTGGTATACATTCTTTAAATTCTAGGCTACGTATATTTTTTACCTTTTAACTAGTAGTAGTTTAGTTGTATGCTTGTTTGCTCTTATTATTATTATATGGATTCAACTTGAAATACAACTAATGTGCATTGCCTCCATAAAACATTTATTTAATTATACCAATATTTTAAATAATTCTATTAAGTATTTTTATTCTCAGTAGTACAAATTTACACTGTCGTCATATTGAACAGTTAATATTAGAAATAAATATTATGGACTGATTTCTTCTACTTAACTTCCTGTAAAAAACATACGTAGTCTCTTTTGCCTATGGGTTGGTAAGATTCGGGATTTCAGCAGTAAAATTGTATAATGGTCTTTTTGTCTTTGCGAATATTCTGCATCAATCCATTTGACCTCAACTTGTAATGTGATACTAATTTAGTGATCATAAAACATAAACGTTTTTTGTGATACAATTGTAATTAAATGATAAGACTTAGTATTTCAATGGGTTTTCGAGTGAGCAACTTTACTGATCGTTAAAATTAAACAAATATTATATTTTAATGGTTAAATGACATTTAAGTGAGATTTTTTACGTCAATTTCTAAGTTACTCTACATTTTTTACTTCTTAATATTTATATTCACTTTTAAGGTTTGTTTGAAACATGTTTATCATTTTTATCGTATGTTTGAATAAATAAATACGTCAAGTCTCAAGAGGTTATAAGTAATTTCAAATTCAACGGTTCCTAAAAAAAGGTAAAAATGATGAATATTTTATTTATTCGTGGTTGCAATATATATCGTATATTTTGTTTACTCACTATTTTTTGAAGATACTAGTTGATCTTTTTTACATATTAGGTATATTTTTAGTTGTATGTGCGTGAATGTGTCCTTTGTTACAGAAGTCTTCGTTCCTCCAACACTCCATTATTCATTCCTTTTTGCGTTTTCAGTGCAATCCTTTTTTCATTTTAAGTTTAAATTTAACAAAATGTGTTATATGCTTCATGTATCAATGTTAAGCGAAATTATCCTATACTATTTGCTGTTACTACTTTACTATACATGTATGCACTGTATATGTTCCTGGTTAAATACGTCTTACAAATTGCGTATTGTTAGGAACGGATCTTTCCGAGTCACACGTTAACATTTGTATAGGTACAGTAAAGTGTTTACCAGTAATGATGGAAAATTTTTAAACATGAATGACATATTTATTTATTGCTCATTTTGAATACATGAAGTAAATAAATAGAAACTCTAGTTACCCAAAGCTCAATTATTTCTCATTTGTTGACACAATATCTAATTCAAATATTGTATGTTATGTTTTCTTAGTTACAACTTTAGTATAGTTTTGCTGATTTGCATGTTTTCAAATATATCAGAGCAAGATTTCAGTGAATTACTCATACGAGTAATTATAATCGTAACAAAATTGTTTGTAAATTCTAGTAGTAATTTAGCAATTTTTCATTTGTTAACAAACAACGTTCAATTCCAAAAGAGCAGTTTATTTGCACAGTGCCATTTCAATTTCACACACTGATCTGGAATTGAACTTGATTGGTTTTGCATTATGGTTTAATTAATATACATTAATGTTGTTTGTTAATGTGAATTGATCACATTCAGTTAACTAAAACTCAACACCTGTAATTTTAATTATCATAGGTAATAATAAAAATAAATACTTATTTCGGTACACTTCATTATTAAGTATCCGCCTATGGGAATCGATAGATGCTTGTTTGGCCGGTCTTTGTTTAATTTTTCTTACATTGATATATGCATTTTTTGTATTAAGCAATCAATCAATAGGCAGATATCATGTCAGTAAATGCTTTATTTCGAGTGAATTGGAATTGAACTCTCCGCACTTCAGTGATGGATTTCTTTTTCGAATTGGAATTTCTTAAACATATAATTGTGATTGCAATTTATCAATGCAGTTCAGTAAGTATACAATATTTTATTCATTGCTCAAGATCATAAAGGGTAGTATGCAGATATAGCAGCGTTAAATGGATGAAAAGTTAAGGGAATTAATAGACTAATAGGATGGATGATGTATTAAAAGTTTTGAGTCAATTTTTGCTTCCGACTTATTTCGAAAAAGTTCAAATTTTGATATTATGTCTGGCTTTAAAATCAGAGCTGGAGGAAAACCAACTAAACCTTCTCAGTGTTATGTGTTGCTTGTATTAGTTGTTTTTAATGTTTCGTTTTCAAGGATTCTACAACTTCGGTTTTTAAATACTCTGATATTTATCTGCTAATTTGAATACCTCTTCAGAGTACATCGAAGTATGACACTAAACATTTATTATATTTTGTCTAGTTTCTTTTAAATTAATATCTACAAAAATGTGAACACGGACCTGTGCTGCTGCCGCTGGTTAAATTAGTTAAACGTTTTTTATTCTTTAAGTTTTCTGTTTGTTTAAAATATTGTATATATATTTAAAATTAATGTTCTCTAATAGCAAGGGTGTCAATGGTTCATACTTTTACTAAATCCTTAACAATTGCGGTGCTACCATAACTTGTAGATAGACAGTCTTACAGGTTACTACAGTAAATTGATTGAACTAAGAACGGTTTAATGTTAGAATAATTATTATAACGTAATCGATTTATATACGAATTTCCGTCATTTGAATGGAACCAAGAAATGATTAGAATTTTCTATTGTAGATAGTTGGGAATAGCAAATCTCATAATTACTAGTTATTTTTGTTGTAAAAGGGCAATCAATAATTTTTTCTGACCTCAAATGATTTTACTGCTGACAATTTGAGTTACGTGAAGTTACGTAATTTTGCTTACCAAATGCATCGTTATGGATGGGATATTCCATTGTGAATCAAATATAATATTTATGTCAATTAAGTGCCATTTTGTGTGCAAACCTTGCTATCTTCTTGTTTAGGCCCTTATTGGGGAGATATTTAAGTTAGCATGTAATTAAAATATCAAATCGCGCCATAATCATTAAATAATATTATTTAATGTTATATTATATACTTAGTATCGCTTATGTACGTTTACTTGTTGCTTGGGAAACTATATTTAACTGTTCAACATATTCAGGAAAATCTACCGGACGAAATATAATTTTTCATTAGACATGATAGTTATGCCTGTAGGCTACAGGCGATTATGTGTAATAACGTTTTTTTTAAGGAATGATCTTTTTAGTATATTAATGGCCCGTCGCATGCTGTATAATAGGGACCGCTAGATTGTCCGCTTTATGAGCAAAAACTACAATATTTCTAATTGAAACTAATAAACAGCCGATTCTCAGTTATAAACAATTTTCGTATTAAAAACATGCGACTCACCATAGGAGAAAATTGATAAATCTGGATGGTCACATCAACTTCAGACAGCAATCAGTCATGGACAACTGACTATTGCACACTTTTTGACAATCTTTTTGAAATAAACCAATTCACTATTCACTACTATTCACACCAGCCAAAATGTTCACTTTGCTCGTAGACGCGCGTCGGTTTAAATTCATATATGGTGATTCATCGCTCACCAAAAAAAAAACGATCGAAAAACAATGTATTTTAGATAGAAAATATTGAGTTGAAAAACTGCTCGGGTGAGGAAAACTTCCGTAAAAGCGAGATCGGAGTTTCTTTTTTTCTAACTGAAGAGTTTTCAATCGGGAAACGACGTGTTTTACACCGTTTTCTGGAATATGAACGACCATGTCAACCACGTAACAGTTCACTTTCAACTGTTTGACACAAAGGCTCGAATATTTCAAAACTTTAATGGATCAGGTCATTTAGGAGGGGGTACGTGCGAAATAGTCGACATAAATATAAAATATATAATATAAAAATTGAACTGACCAAATAATTATTCAGCCCATCATTTTTGTTCACCGTTGTTTTTATTGTATATTCCTTTAACGGCGTTTTATTAAAAAAAATAGCAAATAAAATTTGTCATTTAAATGAAAACGTGCATTTCGAAGCACGTTTTCATTTAAATCTGAAATTGTAGTTCTGCGTATAATTTTTTTAATGTTGCCTGAAAAGTGACCAAAAAGATACAGTTTTTCTGGGTCTGAAAAAATTCGGAACCTTTTAATATGATATTTAGTATTATTTTATAAAATAATTTATTTATTCATGTTTTCGGGGCACCATATTCCATAAAAAATAAACACTGTGGCCAAGGTAAAAATGAGCGAGTATGGAGATATCGGAAACCGAAAAGGGTTTAAAGTTGATGGACATAAACATTAAACTTCGGTAAAAAATTGCGAAATCGTTTCATATTTATTAGTCTTTTAATTGCTTAACTTTTCCCTATAAAAATATAAAAAGCTTATCATTTTCGATCGTCATTCTGGTTGWTCTTATCTTGGACAGTTGGATATTTTTTCTTGGAAAATGGTCTATTAAGGCTACAAATGAAGAAATTATTTTATGAAGTAATACTAAAAATCGCAGGAACAATATTACGAATTTTCCGGCTTGGGACAAAAACTACATTTATTTCGCCGCTTTTTCGAGCAAATAATTTTGGAAATTTTTTTCATCACAAGAAAAATCTGTTACTTGTTGGTTTTTGTATCCTAAGTGGAATAACTGCTAACGCAGGGGCGGATCCAGCATTCGAGTCAGGGGGGGGGTCAAGTAGTAGAAATTCGGTGTTCTGTTGTCTATGAGATTAGAAAAATTATTGTTAGTCGTTATAAAGTCAGCACAATAGGGGGGGTCATGACCCCCATGACCCCTCCCCTGGATACGTCCTTGTGCTAACGCAGTACTACATTTTGAAATTTTAAATGAATAAAAATTTAACACAATAAAAAATCAAATTTACGAAATCTAAATTGTAAACTGAAATAATTATTAGGTTAGTTAAATTTATATGTCGATATTGTTAACCATTCCCCTTCCTGTTTTTTTCCAAATTAGCAAGTCTGTTAAATTTCTTCMTGGTGAACGTTTTCCTGGATGTTGAGTGCGAAAACTGTTTAATTCCAGAAAAAGAAACTATTGATGTTGATTTCGTCGCAATTTTTATAATGAGATCAGTTTTTGCTAACTCAGAACTTCCATCTAAAATGCATTGTTTATTTAACGTTTTCCTGAGTGATGACACATCAAATATAAATTTTGACCGATGCGCGACTGTCGCAATTAATTGTGCGCGTGTTAATTGTTTGTTATGGTTGATTGCAAAAGTGTTGTTAAAAACTGTTCAAAACATTTCCTATCCAGAATACCTGTTTAAGATTGACAACATATGGAAATGAGCTGATACGAGCATCCAGGTTGTATCCGGGTGAGTCGCATGTTTTCAATTTGAAATTTGTTGATAACCGGCATTTCGACATTTAGTTGTTCTCATTAAAATATTGCGTTTTTGCTCTAGAACACATTATGTTCCCATTAATGAAACAATATAGGGTGTCCCAATTATACAGGATATGACACCTGAAATGGGTCTGTAAATCTATTAAAAATATCATTCCTATTCAAAATTTTAACCACACATAGTAGCCGGTAGGACTGTAAGTTTTCCAACTTAAAAGTGATCGTATTGTGATAATTATGGCACAGTTTGATATCTTATTTACATGCTAGCTCAAATATCTCCACAAAAATGTTTGGAAGAAACTTTTTTCTCACGAAACATTTTAACCTATCTAATCTCAATTATATATTATATTATATACAGAGTGTCCCAAAAGTAATGGCACAAAACAAAATGGTGGATTCCTGGGATGAAAATATGAAGATTTAATACAACTCACCTTAGTCCAAAAGTTGACGGTTGCCGACGTACAAGGCGTCAAAGTTACATTTKAATTTCAGTTTTTCGTTATTCTACTTTGAACGGAGCTGCATATTTTAACGAAATTTGGTATACAGGGATTTTTGAGCATAAGAAATCYAAATCTATCATCAGATTTTGATCAACTTGTAGAAAAAACCACTTACGGCAATATCTGGGCATAAAAATTGTTTTAAATTTTTGGTCACWCGGTATTCTGACTTCTAAACTGGTTGGGTCTAATCGCTTATTAATTTTGYACAAAAAAAGATATTAGTCGATGTCCCAACAAGCCTCAGTTTCCGAGATATTTGCGATTAAACCGCAAAGTGCAGTATTTACAAAAAATAAGCCACAATAAGTGTCTAAGTTAAAAAATATTTACTAAACATCATTCTTTAACAGTAGGATCTTTTTATCTTAATCACTAACAATGAAACATTCATTTTCTACAGCAATTGCTGAAAATGTCCCCCGTTAACTTCAATACATTTTGAAATGCGTTTATTGAGGGAGCGTCTAATTTTAAACAAACATATTTTCATTTCGAAATCATTCGGCCGCATTCATAATTTTATTTATCAACTCATCTCGGGTGTCTACCGTTTGATCGTACACTAATGATTTTAAATAACTCCAAACACAAAAATCTAATGGGTTAAAGCCAGGAATCGCGCCGGCCAAGCCCAAGAACGACCTATCCACCGATTTGTAAAATGTTGGTTTAGGTAATTACTAACGGCTCTAGCAAAATCGTCCTCTAATAAATTCTGCACCGGCGTAAAATGCCAAGGATGGAGATTTTCTTGCTGAAAAATCCTACGAACTGAAGACTTGCTTACGCCAGTTGCAGTTTCCAATCGTCGCTGCTTATTTCTGGATTTTCTCCAACACGAACCGGAACGTCTTCCTCTTGTTCTGGAGTTGAAATTTTCGGACGTCCCAAGATATTAACTTTGGTCTTAAAACAACCAGTTTACCCTAATCGACAGTAGATGTCTCCGAATAACTTTAAATACGGTTGCCTTCTATTGGGATACAATTCTAAGTAACGCCGTTTGGCACTGCGTCCACTAAAATTTTGCTGGACATAGACTAACCACATTTCGCATTTCCAAGTTCGAAAAAAATTAAGGCTTTGGCATATTAACTAATTGAAATCAAAACTTAGTATATAGTGGCACTGGTGTCACTTTAACAGACACCAAATAAATCCGTGTCGCTGTGTCACACTACGTGACATGCATTATAAAATGTCCTCACAATTCCGCATTTTGCAGTGTAATCGCAAATATCTCGGAAACAGAGGCTTATTGGGACATCGACTAAGAATTCCTTTTTTGTGCAAAATTAATAGGCGATTAGACCCAACCAGTTTAGAAGTCAGTATACCGGGTGATCAAAAAGTTAAAACCATTTTTTTGCCCAGATATCGCCGCAATTGGCTTTTTCTACAAGTTGATCAAAATTTGATGGGACATTTGGATTTCTTATGTTCAAAAACCCCTGTATACCAAATTTCGTTAAAATATTCAGCTCCGTTCAAAGTAGAATAACGAAAAACTGAAATTAACATGTAACTTTGACGCCCTGTATTTCGGCAACCGTCAACTTTTGGACTTAGGTAAGTTGTCATCATATTTTCACCCCAGGAATCCGCCATTTTGTTTTGTGCGGATACTTTTGGGACACCCTGCATACTAAATATTGCAACAATTTGTCATCTAAAAAAGTATTGGTGTCCTGGCGCATTGTCTAAAATTAGAAGAGCATTTGTATGTAAATTCAGCTCTCGCATTTTTTCGAACGGCAGGAACAAAATCTGTAGAACGATTCTTTAAAAATATCTTTGGTGAATCGTGCCTTTCTCCTGTCGAGGCTTTTCAGATCTGCCTAGCACTAATAATTTAATTTTACGAGTCTCAGAGGCGCTTGAACAAAACTGCAATACAATTGCTTATTTTTCATTGCTCATTGCTTGGGGATATTGCCTCATATTGTGTCAGCAAGTGTCTTGAAGGAGTAATTTCCAAAAAGGCTATTTTTGTATGCATTAAAGATTTGGTGCAACAACGGTATTTCCCGGACTTTGTTTCGAAGCAGTTCTTTGAATGGCTCTACAGCTCCCTCATCACTGTATAATTTTTCCCCTGTGATGGATAGTTGTCGAATCGCATATCGTTTTCAAATTTATCAAGCCACCCAGCACTCGGATTCATAGTCGATATTGGTCGTTGTGCATTTTCGACGAAAATAATTAGTAATTAGCAGAAGATGCTAAATATGTACAACACAGAGGTCCAATGTGAGTTGTGCTTGGTCAGATACAAATAATGACACATATTTTTATATACATTGGTTACATAACGATACACTGTTTATGTTTAGGAGTCCGGTATGCAATAATCTCAAAGTTTCACACGCAGGTTTCTCGAATTTAAATACCTGTTGCCGACATAAGAAATTCTCCCGTATTCGTATATAAAGTATTTGAGTCTGCAATGAAACTCCGTATAATGCATATGAAATCAAATGAAAATTTCTCATACCAATTTTTTCAGGTTGATTGATTGGTTCCGACATGAGAATATCTCTAATATTTATATACATATAAAGTGTGAGTCTATAATAAGGAAGATATCGAAATCGCTTGAAAGGCAAAAAAAATGTCGATTATTCACGTCCAAACGGTCAATCGTTTCTCCTTTCCGCCAACAAATTTTGTTCTTCATAATTGTCCTATCAAAGTTTATAAATACGTTTTTGCGTAATATCCTCTGTTATCCAAACCATATACAGGTCGGAATGTCTGCTTAGCCACTACCTTCTCCACTCTTGGTACAAATTATTTAAAATATTTGATACGTTATTTCCTAGTCAATGGATACGGTTATTCACAATTCAGCAAACATTCCTGGAATTGTCCTGAGTTATATTTTTTATTGATGTCAAATTAATTTAACACCTAATTTTTATTTGCCAAAAGAACTTGAGCATTAGGTAAGTTGTTTTCAAGTTGATGTGAAATTTGCTCTTTTTGGCCCCATTGAAAATTTATCCAATTTAATGACCACAATATGTATATTATTATCAAATAGAGCCTTCCATTCATTAAGACACTATTCTTGTGCACGCCATATTAACAGAAGTTTCTTTCTTCTCGGTCAAAGTTTCTTCAAACCTTCAAAAATTAATTTTCATGATGATGATTCATGATTTCATTCATTCATTCAAATCACATAAAATCCTGAATTTTGCACGATTTGTAAATGTTGATGAAAAATGAACGGTTTTACGCAACTACAGACACTTTAGCAAACAGTTCTCAAGAGGTTCTTTAGCGAAAATCTTCAGATCAAGCTTAATGTAAAACTACGAATCCGTCCAAATGGGACTAAAAGTTCTACGTGTTGATTGTTGACGGATGGCAAGCAGGAGCAAAGTAATGCTAAACTTACCGAAAGCTGCGTAGTACCTGGAAGGAATTAAGGAAATCTGTTTAGTTCAGCAGGAAATCTGTCCAAAACCAAAATTATTTGAAGTCAGCAGAGCAAAGAGAGCGAAATATAAAAAAAACCATAAAACTTCAGTTGCTGAAACGGGAAAAAAGTCGCATAATGAATAACATTTTATGCTAATCTTGTATATCATATTCAAATTTCGTCTTTTAACCTTTTCAAGTTTCAAATTTCTTGTGAAGTTACCAAAAGCTCAATCGGGACCTACAACTAAAGCTCACAGATAACCCTTTTTTTCTGTATTAATGTAGCAATTGTCAATTTTTGCCAACGTGAAGCATTTCTGCTCGGGAAATGATATTTGGGATTCTGCCTGTATACTTTCCAAAAAAATCAGCATTTTTTTGTAAATAATTTATTGAACAATATAAATAAACAGTGACTACTAGAATTTTGATGTTGACAAATTTCGTGGATCCTTCCTGCCATATACATAAAAGTTGAGGTAGTATCTAATGCAAACTGAATTTAAATTTGGCAAATGTATCTAAATCTATATATTGTATTATAAGGACTCGTAAAAAACTAAATATAAACCACAATGTATTGCACATTCATTTTCGTCAATTTTTTTACGATGTTTTTGTACTGAACCTTAATATGTGATAATCAATTCTAACAAAGTAAATTAACAAAATTAAGAAAATATCACATTATGGCTTTATCAGCACCGGTTTTGATCATGATAAACACAGTCTAGTCTCAGTTTTAGTTTCGTGTAAACTATGAAAGTAGTACTTGACTCAAACTTCATGGGTTTTATTGGTAGTCATATTATATCAGTCAGTCGCAACTTAACCAAATTAATTAAAACGTAACTGAACTTAAGAATATTACACTTTGTGACGCTGTATAAAAAGTTATAATTTAACGCGAATCAATGCCCAACAAAAATAACATACATACAAGTACCTATATAGCTAGAATATTCTAAGATAATATTTACATAGTTCGGAGCGGTCAGAGTCTGTAAAAATATTAATTGATATATTTTGATCATTTTGACAGACCCTGCATGTCTTCAACTTTCAAGCATTTACATTCTACTGCATGAAATTAGCAATTCAATTAAATATATTTAGGCGAACAAATCGTTTAATAATATTGGAAAGTTTTCTGCATATTTTTGAATTATTTAACTAAAAATATGACTTTATTTAATTCTGCTAACGAATTTCTATATATTCAATTGAAGTCAATATATATTTACATGTCAGTAATTTTTCAGATCAGTGAAACAGTTTGTAGATATTAATAATACAAAATAACATGGTCACCATACTACATCTGCTTCTAATGACATGCGATTAAAGGCATGTTATTTCATAGTAAGTTCTTTGGTTTGGTACAGTGGCGTGAACACTACGAACGAGTCTAAAGCATTCACTATACGTTTTACACACTTGCAGTTTGGTAGACAATTTTGTCCAGTGATAAGTTCCTCTGTACATATGAGATACATAAATACAATAAGCTATAAAAACGGTACATACCTAGTAGAGAATTCTCATCGGTTCATACATTACTTCTAGAAAACTCGATTGTGAATTTGTGAATACTTCAATAGTCTTCAGTAAAACATAGAAAATTAACATAAAACAACTTGAAGAAAAATAATTAATAAATAACGAAGGGTACCACCTCACTCAATATTACTATGAAGGAGCATACCAATTTGAAGGTGCGCCAGTTCCTTTGCTAGGATGGTACAAATGAAATCCAGCTCCTGCAGTGCCGTGATGGTAAAACTGAGGCTGATCGACATAAGAGTACACTTGAGGTTTCAAGGGTAGAGGACTATCCGGGTACTGTCTGAGAACATCTTGATATGGAACTGGTGAATCGAAAGTGACTCCACTGTGGAGCTGTTGATGTTTATCTCTAGGTGAAACACTGGACGGAGGAGTCATTGCTGAATGATAGTCCATGGAATATCCCGTAGGGTAATTTTGGTGCTGCGATAAGAGGAACTGGTGATCACTGTAAGATGACGATCCTTCACTTCCAGGAGGTGTTGGTAGAGGACCTACTTGACTATCTGTTGGATAATAGCCTAGAGAAAAATCAGATGTTCGAAAGAAAATGTTCGTTAATAATTCGAGCTCAGCATTACCTGATGCGCTACTGGATCTTCCAGCACTAGTAATTCCGTGCACGTTAGCTCTAATAACACTCTCTCTATTAGCATACAGTTGTCTCAATAGCGCAGAAGCTGGCAAAGGACCTTGTTGTTGCAACTGCTGATGGGCACCGATCCACTGAATAGTAGTTCTTTGTTGTTGCTTTAGAAGTGCATCTGTACTAAAATCTGTAGGCTGGTGATTAGGAGATTTGCATGCTGGAAGATGCTTTGACATGGCGTTTTCTAGGTCCTTTACAGATGTACCTCCTGTACTACTTGCTGCAATAAACAATCATATATTCAGACTATAAAGTAATGAAATTATGCTTTTATAATCTTAGAGAGATTTTTTAAAGCCAATATTGAGTTTGAAAATCCTTGAAAATATAGAGGTGTTACAAGGAGATTAAAGTGAAGGGATATTTTAGTATAATATTTTATATTGTGAAGGTGCACTAAGCTGCTCTGCATTGAGAAGGGACAAACTATAATTGCGGGTCCACACCAAACGAACATTAAAACACAAGCTATCATTTAAAACATAAATAAAAAAAGCTAGGCAATAAATTCCGGACACGCGGAGAAGACAGAAATGTAGCAAACAGAAAAAAGAAATGAAGCAAAATATTCAGCAAGTGCAGACTCATATCAGTATGGCAGAAATAAGTAAAACTTTCTGTCATACTGATACATCTGTGATACTGAATCATTGTTCATTCAGAAAAAATATTTTTGTCAAATGTGGTGGTCACAAAATACGTCTGAAAATAAAACATTGAAACTGATAAAATAAAGTATCCTCAGTCAAAGTTCTCACAAAATAGAAACTTTTTAATTATGAACGGCTAGCAGCGGGACCTCGAGCGTGTCCGTCGAAAATTGTTTAGAACAGACTCGGTTTCCCGTGTGTTCTTTAATTGCCTCCAAAAAGTTCACCAACGAACTGAGTTTGTGTTTATTGTGAACCAGAAATAATATGTGAGGGCGTGAACATAAAAGAAGTAATGAGGCACTTGTCTGACGCATAGAGCCACAGAAGAAATTCCTGAACCACATAGAGCCACAGAAATACATTGAATTAAATAAAAAAATAAAACTGTGATGTTGATAGAACTCACCTGTATCGTCCAGTTTCTTCGGACTATTGCCTGTAGACTCTGGGGCAGAAACAATCGGATGGGTGCCGGTAGTAGAATGACACGAACTAGCTGGACTCATTACAACATTTCTGTTCGCATTGACTGCCTCTTCTTCATCGGTTTCGTCTGAAGATGTGTTTTTCCTTTTTTGCGCTCGTCTAATGGGAGTGGTAGATTTTCTTTGGTCTACTACAGGTGTAGCGGTACCTTGAAGTTGAGCTACATTTGTAACCGGATCTAATCGGCGGGTTCTTAGATCGCCGATGTCTTTAGTGATATTCCCAGGGTCCGCGCCGTGGTTTGTGCTATCTTCTAGATCTTGAGATGGATCTGAAGGTGGATTGGGTGGACCTCCGCTATTTCTGTCATCTGGAATTTGAGTTTACTTGTAGTTTTACAGTTTATTAACCGTGTTTCACCATGCTTAGCCAAAAATATTTTTCCGATAAAAATCAAACGGAGTGCAATCGTAAAAAGCACCTTCTACTAGCATTGCTGGTACTCCAACGTACCTCCTCGATCAGCATCTGGAGATCCATTTTCTGGATCATTGCTGCTAGCTTCTTCCCTTTTAACCAGGTGCGAGTTGTCTTCCATTTGGCAACAATCCATTATAAGGTTTTCATACTCTCTACCACTAAAATTAGGAAGTATGTGAGATCGATGCATCGAAGAAACCACCATCTATAATACCTTAATACGTAATTTACGCAAATAATATTTTGCTCTTCGGCGTTTTTGGAGTTGCACACTACAGTGGCGCACGTTTGAAGCCACGTATATCCTCCGTTTTTATTCATTATTCTATAATAGTGGGTCAAAACTTGTCCCTTATTTATTACTAAAAAATGAACTTTTTAGTCATGTGAATTCGATTGAATGGAAAGTAAAACTTACAATCTATATGACACTTTCTTAGCTTGTTGGCATCTTCACCATGGCACAATGAATACAAATTTCTACCAGTCAGTTCTTCGGGTGTATAATCTAATAAGTCAATAACTTTTGGCTCACAATGGGCGATTTTAAAGTCGAAATTTATCCTAGTGACGAACATGTCAGATTCTAGACGAATCTCATGTACACTAGGTGGAGGCAGTGCTATTGCAACAGCTACCATACCCAAAATGGGTGGCTGTTGCGATTTACGTGAATGCGGAAACACGTATTGAGGTCTTAGCTTACACAGCATTAAAACCACCTAGAATGCAAAGAAAAGATTCTTAGTACGTATGTAGAAATAATCAAAATTTGCAGAAGTAATACAGGGTGCTTGGACGTGGTAACTTACTATGGAAAATATACTTTAATGAGCTAGTTTTCTCATCTCGATGACGGTAAGACCAGTTTGATTCTCTGGCATTATTTGTCTAATAAAATTTCAAAAAGATGATATTAAAGTTAGAATCTGAAGTGGTTACGAGAGAATTTGGAAAAACGATTAGCTTAGATTTAGGTTAAAAAAATCGTGGAGTTGTATCATTATGCGGTTTTTGCCGATCAGTGAGGGTGCACGAATCTAATGTCTGATTTTTTTTGTCCTATTTAAGTTGCTAATTCGTCCTTTTTCTTGTAATGCTCAATTTCAATAATCTGCTTTTTTACACCCCTCTTTGACAACGGTAAATTCCTTTTTGTTGTTTCTTGCATCATAGACCTTCCATAAAACGTCTCGAATTATTTATCTGCTTTATATCAATAAACGCAAAATCATGAAGTTTAATTCGATTCTTTCCATCACTAATCTCCATTCAATTTCTGTTACACTAAGATTGGGGCACCCTGCATAATATATTATCAAATCTACTAAAATACCCTGCATAATATATTATCAAATCTACTAAAATACTTACTCTATACCCTGAAGATTTAAAATGACAGCCCCTTTTAGTTAAAGTTGACTTCATCCTAATGCAAAATGCCCTATCTAAGCCCTTATAAGGTGGATTTGTTCCTAGTGACATCACGGTTGAAACTGAAAGGAATTTTGTTGATTGAATATATACCCACATTTTCAAAATGTTAGAGACTTTAATCAGTACAAAGAGCTCATATGAACTTAATTCACTGGATTTTTATTATTCAACAGCAATGCATTTTGTTAATTGAATCGATGCACTAAGTCATTATAAATTTGACGCAAATGTAAAAAAAATATTGATTAAAACCACCAGCAGTGGAAGAACATAAATAACTTGCCGTTAATTCTAGAAGATTTGGAAACGACACTTAATAGCTAGGTATGAACGATTAACAATAAATTAAGCAAAATTGAACGACCCAGAATATGTTTCAAAGCAGCAAGACTTTTTCTGATCGAATGCTATCCTCAGAAGAGTTTTGTGTATGTCGTTGTGCTGCTGTGCAGCTCTAAAATGGGTTTAAAACAGGGTTGACACTTCAGAATATGAATTGTCGAGTTAATAGAAAAAAATACAATAATTAAAATGCACTATTAGGGTGTTCAAACAAATAACTTAAGCTCCGTATATAATATTCGCCATTGTAGCATTCCTCAGCGTGACAGCGTGATACTGCCATAGAATAACAATTGAACACGTAGTAACTTCGTCCGTTGAATACTTAAATAACACTTCCTGTCGGGGCCACTGTATGGGTGTATTTTTGTTCAGGTATAACCATTCAGATCTGTCTTTTTTATTACTGGCCAGCATACGTCATTCGGTCAGTTTATTATCATTCTACGGGATTTAAGACGCCATTTCCAAATCTGTTATGTCCAGCACGCTTTTATATTTTTTGGAGTTCGAGTAACAGTCTTGCGTAGTTTACTACAGTTTTTGATTAATAGGAGCTCTTTAAACTTACAAAATGAAACAAAACAGATACTGGGGAACAAAAACAATACGTTGAATACTAAGTGAATATTCAAAATGTTGTTGTTTGAACCTTACCCTTACCGTCAGGGTTGTTGGTCCCTGTTGCAGAACCACTCTCTTCTGAACCACTTCCCGGTGAGGCCAAGTTCTGCCCTTGCGATAATCCTAAACCTAATTGCTCAGCTATTTCTGAATGGTCTTGTTGATGGATATAATCAAAAATGCTACTACCGGTCATTTCAACCTGGAACAATAACATTCAAGGATTAGCGTTAAGTTGATATGATTGTTCAATATATATTATGTAAAAATAATTCAGTATAATATCTGATCTCATGGTCAAATCTTCAAATCAGAGGGTAGGGGTGATCACTTCCGTCATCCACTGCACGAAAATGTATCTCTTTGCTTCGTTTCTGTTATGTTCGCTCCATTAGAAGCAGAAGGAAACACATTATTTCCGTAGCTTCTCTTAACAAAACACTGACAATGCCTTAATGCTAGCGTATTTCGATTCCAGATTTTAGTTATTTAAATAACCCCATCAAAGTAATGAACTCTAACGCCGATAGAACTTTTCGATCGAATTGTTTAGTCCTTTAGCTTATTAGTGTGGGTGCTAATAAGCTCTCCATTCTAGAGAGTACTAAAGAGTGAAAAAGTACTTCTTGTTACTTGAGTATTTGTTATTCGAGGGACCTGAAGTAACGAATCCTGAGTCGAAAGAGACGTGATTACTATAAATACTGTTTCTCGTTGATGTGGTTTTTTGAAATGAAATTTAACAAATTAAAGTAATCAAATTAACGAATATTTTAAATAATTACCTCATATGGGAGTGATGATTACTAATAAACACTCGAAAGTAATGACAATCGCCACCTCAACCTAAACTGCATGCTTATCATTATAGTGAATTACACGCTTGTAGAGCGCTTGGAAATTACTCAGAAGTTTTATAAAAATAATCCTCCTTTTATTGAACGTTCGGTTTATGAAAATTATGGACGATATACTAATCGTCCTTCTGTGCTTGCTATTCGTCGAATCATTGATACGTTTGAGGGTGATTACAATTTACACGAGACTAGACCACCAATACGAGGTTATACTGCAAGAAGTATTGATGCCAGAAGTGAAGGAAGTCTTGAGTCGATTTTGTTGTGGTTGCAAATTTGTCCATTCTATGAGTTTCACAAGAGTTCCACCTTTCACAGAACACAACGTTGAGTACTCTGCTGAAAAACTTAGGTTTACATCCGTATAAGATTATGTAGACTCAAGAACTGATAATCAATAGCTTCAAATTGATCCAGAATTTCGTAAAAAATGATGTTTCCGAATGAAAAACTAAACTTTTTAATTTAATATTGAACCGTGCGTTTCTGAAATTGCAGCGGGAGAAAGTTATCGACAATTGGGTCTATCAAATTCAATACTGCAGTCGAGGCTGAGGTGGACATTTGAATGATGTGTTATTCGGAATATAAATGGCATACCTCGTACTTCAAAATAAAAAAGTTTTACATTTATTTTAAATATTTTACAGTTCATTTCAGTTTAAAAACATATCGTTCTTACCGGAAAATATTTGGCTTATAAGGTTTAGTTTGACAAAAAAATATATTTGCGTTGAAAAAGACCGTGCATCTGTGACTCCACTTCTGAGAAATAACAATCACAGAACCAATTAGGACACGCGAAATTAAAAACGATGGTAAATGAATTTGAAAAAGTTATCATTAATTAAATAAACAGTATTTTCTTCTTGCGCAACAATGTTGACAATAGCGCATACTTCATTTGGATATGAACGTATGTCGCATTAAAACATGATTTTTGCCAGAAGGATGACTTATCTCAACACGCGTCGTTCTCGTTAAGTTATTAATTAATATTGCATGTATATAAACCATAGGTGTACTTGCAAGTTCTACATCACCCGCTCATCGTTTTCTGACCTAGTGACGTAGGTCACACTATTAAGTGAAATATAATATCAGAACACCTACACTAACTGGGAGCAAAAACAAGGGATTGGTTATGGTACACCTGTTTGGCTTAGTATCCTAGACCAGGGACAAAAGTGATAACACGTAGGGAAACGTGCTGGTGAAGGCGTGCTGGTCCAGGCAACGATGGCTCCCGCAGTTGCAAATACCCTATTGATTACGAGCCGGCATCCACATTATAAATGTGAGACACGCCGCTGCAGAGCATTACGTGCCCAGCATTCCTTTCCATCGTGTTCCTTCTGGGGGCGGTTTAAGCCCTGGGTGGATCTGGACACGTACGCCGGCGCCCCGTCTATCCATGGGCGCACTTGGGAACCAAACCACGCATAGTGCAACTTTGCTCTCTTGCCATTCGGGTTCGAACCAGTTAAAAATCATTATTGTGTTCTATGAGTAATCACGTTGAGCATATTTACCTGTGATAGTCCTAAGTATATAGAAACAGTCTCGGAAATGTATAAAAATCTTCCGTCTGATGCTACCGCCAGAGCAAATCCATCCACCGACTGAAAGGAGAAACAAAAAATGTCAATTAGATCAAAGATGGCAATAGACAAAAAGGTTTTTGGGAGTTGGTTTCAGTGGTTTTTGGAACTGAGTTTGTGACATTAAATCATCAAATTATTTACTGGATACAAATGGTCAGAACCAGGAGAGTCCACCAGGAGAGTGCACAAGTCATCGTTCTTTCTATAATGTTTCCATAATACGTATCATATTATGTTATAAAGTGTCATGCGACACCAAGTTTAATTGGTTTATCCAGGAAATCGCACATTGAAATATTAGAACTGTAATGAGAAACACTATGCTGCACAAAAAATAGTCTACGTCCCACTTTTAACATGTGACCCCTAAAACGGTTGGTTTAGCAGTGTTGACCAAGATATACATTTCGCTCTATATTGATAGGAAACAAAGTGGCAAAAAAGTCAGAGCAAATTGATTGGAAACATATGCAAACAGGTGGCGCAAACAATTAAACATATTGAAATTTTTCGATTTCGGAAGTTTTTCGTTTGCTTGGAAAATATGCTTAACAAAAAAAAACAAAGGCGCTAAAGTTCGTCGCCTTGGATGTCGTTTGGGAGGCAAAATGCAAAATCTACTGCTGGAAAAATACAAACTTAAACTCTAAACAGTTATTCCATTAGTGGAACTACAATTTCACTATCTATTTCACTATGTAGCAACCTTTTGCCAACATATTTTTCGGGTTTTAATACAAATAGATATTGAAAACAAAACTTTAGAAATTTTGCATGAGTGGAAATTTACTACATTAATGTTAATTAATCAGCTTGAACGAATATCGGTGAAAACAGGTATACCAGAAACGGAATTTGTGTTGAAAGGAAGCAAACGAAGGAAACAGAGTTTTGATGAACAGTTTACAAAAGCAAAAGAACAAAAATAACTTTACGACACGGTATATTAATGAAATAAATGTCTTAAAGACATGGCAACAGAACACTTGTTATTGACATATTGTTTTGACTCATTTGTTGAGATCGTGCTACCCTAAATAAACTCACCCTATATTTGGCAGCGGTGCATAATTCAATATAAAAAATGTGTGGAATGCTAACACACGCCATAATAAGTGTAAATAATTATAATTACAATTATTCTTCTATTTTGAGCTTTGAATAATCGATCAGTAAAGTGATTCAAATTTTCAGTCCAATTGAAACTCACAAAAACAATGAAGAGTAAATTTATTTGAATTTTATAGGATTTTTAAAACATATGAAAGTGCGAATTTTGATTTTTACCAAATATTTCTTGCAATCCTGTAACAGATTATGTAGTAATAAGTAGATCATGTCACTCAATTTAATTCAATTCAATTTAATTCAATTAATTAAACCCATTCGACGCACGATTAAGAACGTATACACGTAAACTAATGTAATGGACTTTATATTAAAAGTTCACATTTATTAAGTGGCAAATTAAATTAACAGTTCATTTGTGTTCTGAGATTAATAAATTGATAATAATGCAATTTAATACCAGTCAAATGCGATGGATTTTCATAATTTTAAAAGCATAAATACGTATCATCGTAAATAATAATTTATGATTTATAATTCATAGATACACAAAGTAAATTAAATAGACCTGGAGTGTAATATCGATGTCAACTAACTGCTTTAGTACGTCGCTAAAATAGTGTTTGAAGTGATTTACTTTTCAGATAATTTGCTAATTATACAACACAGTAAAAGAAAAACAGAATCTGTTGCTCATGTGAGGCACACTGTACTTCAAGTAGTCATTTTATGTGTAAGTGTATTTTTTTTATAGAACTTGTGCGCATTTAGAGATTGTTGCCTCTCATGATTTCAATGAGAATTTGTTGTTTTCAATAATGTCTCACCTGCAATATGTGTGTTCCCTGATGTTGCTCGAAAACATCCATGACTAATGTGGTTCTCCTGCCTGTAATAAAACAAAACCCCGTAAAATGATATCAACTATTTCGGGTTGTACTTGTGGACTTCGACATATTCCATACATCCAAACCAAGAAAACTCCCCTCAATGAAAAATGTTTCCCCAATGTATTAATTTAAGCAGTGCAAGATATATGGCTCGTATTTATTGAACTTCGTATAAACACAGGAAAACATGTAACATATGAGGCTAAAGAAATTTCCGCAGCAGCAAGATGCCTCGAACTTGTTACAAATTACCGGCACTGTCATCCCTGAAATATTGCTGCTTGATATGGGGTTTATAGATACCAGTCCCTAAATTTACTCCCTCGGATTTTTTATCGGGGCATTTTGCCAGATGCTTTAGTACATTTACATAGACTGACTGCTATTTTGATTGCAATTTATTGTCTAACAAATCAAGGTTTCTTAGCATAACGCATTTTTATTTCGTTCTCTTTGCTTTGCTTAAAATGATCGTGTACACAACGTTTCTAACGAAAGAACACTAAATGAACGAACTGCAAATTAAGGCTATAGATATCTCCCTCTGGCTTTAAAGAGTTTTAAATTAGCACCAATCAAATATTCCCGAGTTTAAAATAAGATTAAGCCATCCGCGGTCCCGATTTTCATTTAAATATTGAAACAAAACCGCCTCTAAGCCCCTAGATCAATGTCAATTCATTAGACCCAGGTTTACACAGTCCCAGCTTAATTTTACATAATTTGATATTTGCAACCATGTTGCCAGATTACCTTATTTGATCAAGGATTACACATTTGCTGCATTTGATAAAATAGCAGAAAGGTTTGGCCACAATTCTTCTCAAATKTGGTTATAAATGCGCATTAAAAGTAAGACCTACGTAGATCCTAAAATGTATAAWATGTATTTTTTAGTAAACCACATTGATACAATATTGTAATATGTCCAGATACTTTTTTCTGTAAACATTTCTATCTATTTTTGCTGTTGGACGAACTTCTTTACTTGCAAAAAATTTAGAATCATGTAATTGAAAATTCAACCTCAATATGTTCATTGCAATGCTAGCACATTGGTAATGTTATTCGTAGTGAAGTTAACTTATAGGTTTAAACGGCCAGAAATGAATCGAATTTCAACATAATTGAATTATTTTGCCCTGATTATGGAGCTATATACTATATATTAATAAAACAAACATCAATCAATTATTCAAGTCACAAATAAATAGTGAGCAACTTATGTCGACTTTTCGTGTTATATCGTAGATTTAAGTGGAATCGAGTAATTTTTTTCTGGAAGCATAGGAAAAAACTCGCAACAACGAACGACTGAAATAATTAAATGCAAATACTTGCCCGAAGTGTAGAGCAATTAAACTGCCTAACAGAGTGAGGGATTTTATATGATATATACTGATCGATTTTTGGCAGCACGAAGGCTATAAAGGAAGCAACTATATATTTAATTACAATTAGACAGACGATTCACATTTTGTAATAGAACAACTGAAACATATTTAGAGAATATGAAGGATTATTCTATATTTTTCTAACTGTTCGAATTACGCCCAAGCGGTCTATTCATACACGATTGCAATTAAATCTGCATTTAAAAAATCGAAGCAAGCAATAATTAGGAAAATAGAAGTAAAGGCTTTTGGACACAAAACTTGCAAAAAATTAATTCGAATTTTATGAATATCAGCTCTTACTATAATAGAGAACAGATAATACTTTTGAAGAGAGAAGAGATACACATTTGAAGTTAAAACTTTCAGTCATTTATTACAGTTTTGCTGAATTCTCAAAATGAAAACGTAGCAACACTGTATTTATTTTTTGCGTTTAAACTCTCGCCACAAATAGTCGAATTACGGGTAGAAAATTTTCCAAGTTTGGTTTACAATAAGCATTGGTTAATTTTATCACTCCTCTGCCGGGGTGCAGAATTGGATTTGCGAATTTAACAGGAGGGTCGTGATTAGATTTACATGTAGTTCAACGGGGTGTTGTCGTCGAATTCAAGTTTAGGGACCTGTATGGGCACATTTTCAATTGCCACACATTTTGGTGACATGTGCGAACTTTGCGTTAACTTAATCAACAACATTTACATAGATATGTAGTTGAATAAAAAAGCAAAATATTTTCTCGCGCGCGTAAAATTTACAATTTTTGTCAAAATTTATTAATTAATGTAAATGGTGTAGTAAACATCACTTTTTAATGTGAAAAATTTACAGAAGATTTATAGAAATACACACTCTGAGGTATTGCCAAGTAGAATTTAAAACTTCTCAATCATGTGACTTCCAAAACAATGAATAAGCGTTCGAAATAAAAATTAAATTCTTGAATGGCATTAAACTCTCAGTTCAGCGCCCTAAACTCTCAAAATAAAGCCCGCTTAAAGAATTATATACCATAGTGGATATTAATGTTCTAATAAGCTGCAACTAGTAAATACGAGTGTTTGTCCGAAAATGCTAAGCAATTATATCATTACGTGCTTTTTCAGTCAAAATTTACCCTCAATTCAATTAGCATCCGCCTTGAAAGAATCACATATAACATCATCCATTACAAATAATTGAGGGGATGGAATTAGGAATAAGTAAACTGATGGCGCTCCCTTTCAGATATATTGACAAAAGTCCAAGTATTTATGTGCCAGTCATAAATATCTGGTGGTAGATGCACAAATGTGTAGTTTAACTGAAGGAAAATGTGCTAATAAGAATATTAAAGAAACAAACTAAGTCGCTTATAAAATAATTTACGGTTTGAATTTTGATCTGTCGAATGTTAAGGAAACTAAAGTATTTATAATTCAAAGTGTCACCTCACGTAACCTCGTTTGCTACTGAAGTACACGATTTGATATTCAGTGATTTGATGTCACCAGAACTCACTATAAAGCATAGTTGTACGTGGTTTGTTAAAAAATCGTCTACCTACTTTTCCTATTTGGGGCAACTGGTACTTTCAAATATTTAGTTGTTAACTTGTTAACATCTGTCGTGTTTTATATCACTTTTATCAATTAACATTAGATGTGATAAACTAAGCTTCGAAGTGAAAGAAGTAACCGTCAAAAGTCCAGTTGGAAGGTTAACTGGATAAAAGGATGGCCTAGGGAAAATCAAGTCAACCACAAGTTCTCCAAACAATTGCCCCAAGTCAGCGGTCAGTCTTTCTTTTGTTTCCGCGGCTAATCGAATTAGCCTGGACCTTTCACCGACCACAGATGGCTATAGATTGACTTCTTGGTTAAGAGCGTTTTATACGATTGGTAGAACAAATATTTCCGTAAGTGTTTAGTTCACAACCCTTTTATATCCACTGGTATTATTCTGACGATAAATTTGAAAATTACCTTTCAACGTTTTTGATGGCGGTGAACCATCTCTACTCCATGGCGGATCTCCATGACCCGCAAAATCTCTTAATTTGAGATATGAGATCGTTAAGCGTATGATACTAGCTTTGTCTAATTGCGAGGTTATGGCGGCTGGTAAGGGCAGCATCTTGGCGAGTTCATAGAACTCATAATTTTCCTTTCCTCTCCTAGATCGAGCTGCATCTCTGCTTTTCTCTTTCCGCAGCTCCAAAATACTGAAACGAAAGAGTCGATTTTTAGATATGTATTGCCTAGTTATAGGCGGTTGAAGGAATACGTTGGTGATCTCTTCTATTACATATCGAAGAAACAGTCGTTATAAATAATGAGCGCAGAAATCGAATATTTATGATAGAAGGCTAAATTTCGCGGTCATTTTCTAAATAAATCACAAACAATACAAGTACCTTAAAGACTAAAATAATGATTGTTTCCTTTCATCGCACTGGTCCGCTCAATTTAACACCGAAGGGCCAGCGTGTGAAAACAAAATTACACCAAGAACTTTGCTCAAATTGGCAGAAATTGGCTTGTGCTACTCGAAGCGGGGGCAGTACCCCCCTGAGACTGTCGGCCCCCTCAAAAGCCGTTATTAGGTTATCCTTACTAAAAGAAAGCGCTCTTTTGTCAGCTTTCAATGGCATGGAATGTCCGTTCACAAAAATATCCACATAGTCAAGGTGTGATAACAGAAATATGTTATTTTTTGCGAAACATGGACTGAACACTATTTATTGAGTAGAACTTGTGAGACATACTAAAATTTGACAGGAGGTGACATCATAATTCACTAATGAATGTTGAATCATTTCACATAATTTGACGGCTAATGACACACCGTTTATTATATGTCTTAAATGCATTTTGTGGGTTTTTTGCAAAAATAGCTTTTTAAAGGGTTTCTGGGACTTATTAGGAGAGTACGAAAGATTTATAAAATAAAATGCTTACATTTTATTTCTTGAGGATAATTAGCTTTTGATGGTGTAATTTTAAAAATTTTAGATTTTTTTTGGAAAAATTACGTTATTTTAAACAAACCCGGCGGCATTCACACATCGGGGCATTTATTGGCAAAATACAGATTTTTATATTGTGCTGTTGAAAGTTTCAAATGTATGTCAAAAATTATAAAATATATTTCAATGACAAAAATGTTAACACCGTCGACAATCGACAAATGTGTTGTGCATTCAAAGCAGATTTATTATTTTGTCAAAGTACAATAAGTCGAGATGGTGAAAGTGACGGCAACTGAATTGTTGAATGTTGAACTTGCACTGCTAATAAGTAATCATTTTTTCTCACCCCTGCTTAAATCGAATTTCCAAAGAAAAAACTAGTCATTATTCGTGTATCGGTTAAGAAAACGTAAAGTATTCCAATATGATACCAAACAAAGATTGGACCATTTCAAATTAATACTTAATAACAAAGTTGAAATTTAATTCACAACTACTAATGTCTTACAGAAATTTTCGAAATTTTTTTTCTATATTTTTCTGCTATCCAAGTGAGCTTAACCTCTTAAAAAAAATGGCGCCAATTTTGAATTACTCTGTATTACTCGTAGCATAGTTACACATTGAAATACAGATAGTTACCAACTTTCCTTTGGGAACTGAGTTGACGAACTAAAGCTTGAAATATTGAATTCTTCTCAACTGATCAATTTAACAAATTTATAGTCTCATGACTGATATTTATTTTTTCTCCTGTTACTTTTGTTGATTAGCACATAAAGCAGCAGCAATCTCTAAATAACTTTGGTGAGAAAAACGTCGTGTGTAGGTGCGAATCAAACATATCGTTGCCAAATTTCTGGTTTACGTTTTTGCGATTTTCTCATAGTGTTCTTGTAAGAATTTTTTGTTTACTATTATTTTTGCACTTCCTAAATATTCCCAAAGAAATGACGTGAATTTCCTCATCGTTCGCTGAATGAAGATGAGTTTAAATTTCGAATTAAGTCTTCTCATTTGGTATTGGTGATACAAAGCTCCGTATAGCAAACATTTAAAATTTGATTTTTGTCTTCGGCTATTGAATACTGTTAGAAGCTGTGGTTTTATTTTTACTTCATGTGATTTGAATATTTTAGTATAACCCCTATACTCATTGAGATAGTTGATTAAAAAGTCCTAGGTAAAACAAAATCCAATCTAAATAACGAAGTAGGACTCGAGAAACCTAATGGCACACGTTCGAACCTTGATGGTTGGCTGTTCGATAGACTGCTGACTTAGTAGCCGCGAATGTCCGCTTTTACGGTCACCGGACGTGCCATCTTCGTCCAGCTAATGAGTCGAACATCCCGAGGGGCACTTTAAATCCGGGGACACCAAAAAGCTTCCGGAGTCCCGGCCTCAATACTTGTTTGACCGTTTGTGTTTTATTTGCGTCCCCTATCATAAAACTGATGCCTTTTCTTACGTGGCTCTTCACGTTTTACTGTAAATCATCTTTACGGACGGGCATTACTTGGTATTGACACAGTTTACCTTTTTTGAGGATTGTTTGGGGATCTTTATGATCTACTGTCTTGGGAGTTATTAAACGTAAAAGGAAATGCTGCCACAGCTTCGTTTGTAAAGTCTGCAATAATGTCTGCATGGAAATAGTACATTCTTGTTGTTGTCTGTCAAACATTACATATTGGTCAAACGTCAAACCCTAATTTGGTGTTAACTTATTAAAGAAACATGTTTCATTAAAGAGCAACTAGCATACTCTATCACGCAAACTTTTTCTAAATAAATTGTTTTAAAACAAATTTGTTGAATTTTCTCAAATAATCTATTATGCCTAATAAGCCGTAAAAGCTATGCAATCGGCGCATATATCGGGTGTAAAGGTTGTATTGAAATAGGCCCTACCCACGGGAAAACTTCAGATCGTGCTTCAAAGCAAAAAAGCGGAAATTACAATTCTACGTATATAGGACAAGGGCCCCAAAGGATGAATAAAGTCAAAAGTAACGGAGTGCGATCAAGAAACTGCGTCTCTTGTGGAAGTTTTAAGATTTACCTTTATTTGTCGATAAAAGAGATTTGCCATTGGGGTGTATTAGGGTAAAAACAGTTTAAAGTGCTCATGTTGGCGTCAACAGGGGGTTATACCCTTGTAGAATTTCTTTAACGTAGTCGCCGTTTGAGAATAAGATTGGCATATTTTAACAAGCCTTTCTTCCGAGGGTATGACTAAAAAAATTATGCTAAAAATGAAAACATTCGTGCAAATGCTCTCGAATGATATGAACGGGTTAAACAGTAGAACATTTATCGAGAAAATTGAAGGTAATAAAGGATACGTGGCGGAAAGTAATAATGATTCATATAAACATTTTCTCAAAGCAGAAGGCTAGATTGAAAAGGACGCTAGGGGCTAGGAATATATTTCTTCAATAACTGGAATTGCCCTAATATTTGTCCAGTTTTCGCGATAAACCAGTGGCGCAGCAATGAAATAAGTGAATCCCACACAGCAGACAAAACTTCCAGAAGGGCTAGTCAAAATATTACTTTATTCATGCATATTATTCAGTTAATGGATTGATGACATTTTACACCGTAAATTGAGACTCAGTGATCGTATTGTACATGACCTTTTTTCTTAATATTTAACATAAATTGAATAAGAAATTACGGTTGAAAGTGCTATGTTAAAACTGCAAATTCTGAAACGACAATATTAAATGAGCTTTTTGAAATTGAATTGAAAAAAAAATTTTTTACTTTGAATTTGGCTGGTGAGAGTTTTCCCGTCTATCCTTCCCGTTAGTGAATGAATGATCTAACAAGTAAGACTTTATTTCCAATTAACAATTAAGCCAATGGTAAGGCATATGTTAAAGACATCGAAAAAAATACCACCAGGTCTTAACAAAATATCCAATTCTATCTTTATTTCTATATCTAATTCTATCTATCCAATCGATATTTCGGTTTATTACTTTTTAGGAAAAAAAATATAATCTATATTTACTTGTTAATTTGATAGTCAGTTCACGTTCAATTTGATAGTCAGTTCTATTTCGCAAAATTAAATCAGTAAAATATAAAAATAGCATTCGGAAAGAAAATGGAATTTTAGCTTTACGGCACCACTGGCCTTATAAAAACTTCACAAATCCTCACTAAAAGAAAAAATACATATTATTTCCCTGGACGCTACAATTGAAGGCTTGTTTTTTCGTTTTATTTTATTGTCCCCTCATATGCGGATTTTGCCCTATATAATCGGTTTATCATCTCTTGGGGCTCCTATTTTCGGACGTTATAAAAATCTATCGGGGGTAAAAAAGTGTTAGCGATGATTATCATTGTCACACCTCGTTTTTCCTTTTGATTTATTTGTATTTATTGGATTTTGTTTATCAGAGTTTTTTTCATTCCGGGATATAGGGCTTTCTTCGGTTGTGGCCAATAGGTACCTTAACGTTTGGCAATTTTTTTTGGTTAAAAACCGATTCAACTGCAAAGGTAATTAATTACGTGAACTTTTAGTCCAGAAAGTCCTGTAGATTTGAACTATTGAATTATTTTTAATAATCGTGTCTTTAGTTATTGTTAGGTACATTCGCGTGGGAATTAAAATTTTACACATGTTTTAGGATTTTCATACACTAATGCAAGAGCAGTCTCTAAAATTCTAATTGAAAATGAAGGGTAATTTTTTTCGTGTTTTACAACTGAACTAGGCTCACCTACAGTTTAAAAAAAATAAGATATAAGATGAACATATTTTAGAAACCAACAGGATTGGTTTTATTTACCTTTTTTTTGGAATGCATGTTAAAAAAATAATAAGGAAAGTCGCGTGCAGCTGTAACGGATAAAAATTAATTAAGCTAGTGGTAGGTGTGCTTCCAAAACACCTCCAGAGAAACGACGCCAATTTTGAATCACCCTGTACACTAAATAAGATTAGCGGTTTACTTCGACATCATTATTATTAACAGAGCGGTGTCTGTAAACGCAAAAACACCATTGGCAACTTGATAACTATGTAAAAGTAAATTCAAATTTTTAATGAAAAAATCACATGGCATGGCTTAGAAGTTTCCCTATTCCGTGTGTGCAAATTGAATAATTACAAAATTTTAATTTATTTACATAAATATTTATTCTTCTGTATTATCTAAATGTTTAATTCAATTTTTTTCTCATTTTTTCTATAAGTGCACTCTGAAAATTTTGCGCTGTTTTGCCATAAT